AGGTGCCTACAGTATCTGATAAATGTAATCCTGAAGACCACACCGTATTCCGTTGTACACACAGCTGAGAATCCAACCGACCACCTGAAGAGCATAGTGGCGGATGTTGCAAGATGATTGGAAATCCGCCAAATCACGCAGCAAAACCGGGGATTGATCAGCGCTGTACACCATTCTCCACAGCCAGCATGATAGCAAAGACTGAGGACGCTTGCTGGATGACAGACAGCATTCCGTAGTATTTTCTCACAGTAGCACCAGTGTCGCTGTCTGTAATCCGCCTTCTTTACTGACGTTTGGTATCTCCATGGCAGTTCTTTGCTGTACTTTTCTTTAGGTTGTTTTTGTTGTTTCCCCGTATTCTGATGCTGAATACTGTTGCAATCACCAAAGTCACTTTCACAGCTAGTGGAACCTAGGGTCATAAAAAAGAGACACAAAAACAAACAATACTAATCAGAACACAAGTGGAACATCACCTACCCCCTACCCCTTTCTTTCGCTCACTTTCTCTCTCTCTCTGTCTGTCTCTGTCTCTATCTCTGTCTCTCTCTCTCTGTCTCTCTCTCTCTCTGTCTCTCTCTCTCTCTGTCTCTCTCTCTCTGTCTCTCTCTCTCTCTGTCTCTCTGTCTCTCTGTCTCTCTGTCTCTCTGTCTCTCTGTCTCTCTGTCTCTCTGTCTCTCTGTCTCTCTGTCTCTCTGTCTGTCTCTGTCTGTCTCTCTCTCTCTCTCTCTCTCTCTCTCTCTCTCTCTCTCTCTCTCTCTCTCTCTCTCTCTCTCTCTCCACAACACATCCAAACGAAGCAGCAACACATTGTGTCTTGATGTTTCCGAAATAGTTTTCATCATTTTTGTTTAATACGCGGTATATATATATGTGTACAGTGTAGTTTGAGCAGCGCAGCATACAGTTCAGTCTATACCAGGATCTGAAAGTGGTAATTTGGCAGCAAAAATTGACTCCTCCATGAACGGACACATCTCTATGAGCTCATACGAATTGCTCGAGCCCCCCCCCCCCCCCCCCCCTGCACAGACTATGCACTTGGTCACGTCCAGGATTCAAGTCATGTATCTAGGACAGACAAGTTAGCTATCCTGCACCTGGGAGTTTTGGCAACACAGTGGACAGCCAGGATCAACCCCTGCACTAATCTAGCCTGTTGGGCAAGAATTTTGACAACAAATTCTCAGTTTGTTTGCACGTCTGCTTGAGGCGGCCAATCCTAGATGTAGGGGGGGGGACCAGTTCAAGATCCAAGGGGGGGGGGGAGAGGGACAGCAGACCGGTCCACTGTACAGGGCCTGGACGGAGGGGGGGGGGGGGGGGCGCCGGCCTGTCCATGATGAAAGAGGAGGGGGGGGGGGGAGCAGAGGGGGTGGTGCAGCCATGATGCAGGCGGCCAGTGTAAGATGCAGGGTGGGGGGGGGGGGGGAGGAGAGGGGTGTACAAATGTACATAGTGCCCATTTCTTGCACTATAAGTATGTACAAGACTGCCAACAGGACATATAATTATTGTCTATGCAACCTTAGTCCTTGTGCAGAGACTGTTCATAGCACATGCATGTAATACAATACTCTATCACGGTCTCAGATTGAAGGAATAAATAATACGCAAGCACTGAGTTTATCATTCTTCAGTACTTTGTTTCTGAGTTTATCTATCTACTTTGAGTTCAATGCTGTAGACAGCAAGCTTTTTCGGCCACGGATACCTCATCAGTACAGCCATGAGCTTATTTTGATTCAAATGTTCTTCGTGAAGAGTGACGCAAACGACAGTGCAGGTTTATGTGTACTCACAGCTCCAAAGTTGACTTTTAATCTGTGTTTAGCCACTAAACTGAGTCAGGAAATTGAACAATTTTTAATTTTTTTATTGTAGCAACAACAAGGAGTACTACTCACCGTGTCATTGAGGGATGAATACTAGCGACATAGCTGATAGAACTCTCTACTTGATGATTGGCTGTTGTGTATTATAACTGCCTACTTTCCAGGAAGAAAAGCTCCCAACTTTCTCTATCCGCTGGCGCTGAGAAAATCTTCTGCTGCTTTGCGAATGTCACTGGCTCAGTATACTGCACTACTATCGCCTCCTTCAGCATGCACGAGATAATTATCATGACGTGAAACTTCATGACTAGTAGCTGCATAGCTATATCACTTAGTGTATCGAGGAACAACATCATCCTGAATTTGTACCTCCACGAACATTTCTTCAAATTTCATATCTTGAAACATTAATTTGTTCACCAGCAAAGTGACAGCAAATAATTTTGACTACTAGTATACGAAATTATATAGCCTGCAATAGAGCCACGAGTCAATCTCTCGAATTGGCAACGTTCGGACATCAGGACTTCAAAATTAGTTCCGACAGAATGTAATTCCTGCTGTGCACGTTTACACTCGCCGAACTTCTTGAAAAGTAAGACTCGTCCTATGAAGGAAGCGTTTTGTTTGAGCTGTGGAAAGTGTTCCACAAACCGACTCACTGGGACTTATGAGAGCATGAAACCTAGCCTGCTTTGATGTGATGCGTGAAAGGGGGGGGGGGGGGGGCAGGCTGAAGGTGTGAAAGTTAGTTACCTGTGTAGACACATCCAGATACTCTAGACTTCTTGTATACTAAGGGCGCGTTCGAATTGTATTCATCAACTATTCGAACAGATTCCTAAAAGAGATTAGTTGAACTTGAAGTGTCCCAATAGAACTGTTTCTATCATGTTAGAGCTTTTCAGTGGAATTGTCATGGCGGTAATGACGTCCAATCAGATCAATCTTCGGAACTAACCCACCTCCCCCATGGCCCATCGGATGAGGTTGTGGAGTTTCGAGGAGTGTCGTTTTTCTGAAGAGGCCAATAAGGCCACAACTGCCACCTCTTCAGAAAAACGAAAAGTCAAAGAGTGAAAATTCGATCGCGCCCCGGCCCCTGGTCTAGGTGTACGATTTTCGCACATGTAGATCTACAATCATGTAGAGGGGACGGTTTCAAATAGGACACCGGTTGCAAACCGGAACGGACTCAATATTCACTTTCTCTATTGGTATTTTGATTAGAAAACATATGTCACAGTGAGACTACCTGTACTATGTGTTATACTCCGAGCCAAAATTTCATGGCTCTGCGATGACCAGAAGCGCCATATCAAGCAGGTGAGTTTTTGACGTGTTGCTTCGCACTGCGACTTGAGTTTTACGACTTTCGAAAAATCAACTTCTTGTCGCAGGTAAACAGCGGCTCGCCTCTCGCCAATAAAGCACCGCATACCAATCAAAACTAATGGAAGCACACACAAGGCTTATTGTTACTCTGTACTGGCCGTCGTGGAGCGATAGCAATTACCTAATTTCAGACCCAGAGTGAATTTGACGTGCACTCTAAAACGTGTCCGGTTTGGAGCCACCTCTGATTTGAACTTTTTTGAAGCGAAAAATTGGGCAACTTGGAGGCAATGGGTCAACACAAAGGAGTGGCTCAGTTCGATTGACTCTGGCCCCAGAGCAAACTTCAACATGCCAGTTTCCTTCCACAAACATATTTCGAGTGAAAAATCAACGCTGATGATCGGTTTGGGTCTATACAAATTTGGCTGTCAAAACGTCCCGGTATCGAGCCGTCTCCTCTACATGTGCCGGAAATAGAGAGGTTCCGGAGTACGATTTTTCGTGCCAAAATCCGTAGAGGCGCTACAGATTTTTTATACGTCGTTTTCGAGCAGTGAAATGTTCCGGAGTACGGAACTTATGTGTTTGCCGTCATTGCCTAGGTTACGATCGCAAACACGTTACATTCCCGCGCTATGCCTTTATATTTTGAAAATTTGTACCGAAATCAAAACTTCCCGCGGATAATCCATGTTTCTCGTACCAAATTTGTACGCAAAAAATCTTTCTGCACCCGATGACGCAAAATCTCCATACGAAACATGGTTCGTGTGAAAGCCAGTCCACACGGATTCTCCGTGCCGAAAAATCTTATGGAGCACTCCTGGAAAAAATCCGTAGCGCCCACACGGATTTTGGCACGGAAAATCGTACCCCGGAACCTCTCTAATCTGTGTACATGTACGTGTATTTGCAGATCTACAGTGTACGGTCTTCGACCACTGAACTAGTACTGAGCAGTAATCATCCCAACCGGGATTTGCTGTTGCATGCCAGTGGGCCATTTGGGTAACGATTCAGTCTTTTCAAGCGTTTGTGTTCAACCTTGCACTTTTAATTGCATGCTCAATTGTTTTGCCAAAATTGGGTTGTCTTTTTGTTTTGTTTCTTACTTTATAATTATGGTTTGACGCTTTGCATGCCTTGTCGATAAGACCGATCTAAACACTAATCATGCCAACTGGAGTGTGAAAATATAAATTACTCCAATGCACCAACATGCTGACTGTCAAGCTTCTAAAGCCTACAACCTTGTCGGATATCGCAAAATGAAGGTGACGGTAACTGTGATCCCAGCTCATGCAGAATTACCTGTGCTATCTTCAAATTAATACTTTTTTAAGTATGTACATCTACTGCAGTATGACTACAGGTACATTCAAGGGTAGCTCAGGCTGTGAACATAATGACTGTGAATTGCATGCTGTCACGTGACGTCTTGAACTACCAGCAGTCCCCTCACTGAACCAACTGTGGCTCAAGATTTTTCTCAGAAGGGAGTTGTGAAAGGGCTTTCACGACACCCTGGTTGCCACCAAGAGTAGAAGAGATTATCATGTTACTAGTACTAGTACGTCCTCTCACTCTCACATGTATAACCATCAATACTGTAGTGAACTTGTAATGAGGGGTGAAATAGAGATGTGGGGAGGGGCGGGGGAGAGTTGGTTGGTTGGTTCGTTTGCGTTATTTCAGGGAGAGTAGGGGATTCCCCTATCGTAATGAGCAGGAACAGGACCACTCAATCATAAATTATTTTAAAAGTAACGACAGCACAATAATGTTGGGCTGTATGAGTGTTGGTGGTGGGGGGGGGGGGGGGGGGGGGGGGGTGGTGGTGGTCGGGACTAGCCGCAATTTGACGCAAGTGGATATGAAGCCGATTGGGAAACCTAAGCGTCTGCAAACCTCATTTTAAAAAGTATTGCAAAAAGAAAAAGACAGCAGGTTAATCTTGGCAATAAAATTAATATCAAGAAGAGAAAACGAGCAGCAAACAGGGGAACGTGAACCATAGAATATTATAATAGCAAAGATTGCAGTAACAGAGCAATGCAAATTCTGTCACACTCAGTCTCACACCAGAAAAACGAGTAGTTCCAGAAATGGCTATGGAGCAAAGATTGCAGTAACAGAGCAATGCAAATTCTGTCACACTCAGTCTCACACCAGAAAAACGAGTAGTTCCAGAAATGGCTATGGAGCAAAGATTGCAGTAACAGAGCAATGGAAATTCTGTCACACTCAGTCTCACACCAGAAAAACGAGTAGTTCCAGAAATGGCTATGGAGCAAAGATTGCAGTAACAGAGCAATGGAAATTCTGTCACACTCAGTCTCACACCAGAAAAACGAGTAGTTCCAGAAATGGCTATGGTCACTATGTCACAGAAAATAGTTCAGAAAATATATTGCAGCCGGGCAAATGAACAAATAGAATTCCTAGTATCGAAAACCAAATGAAAGAAAAACAAATCTCTTCTGCCTTGTGCAGTGTGTGTGTGCACACAAGATACATGACAGGAACCACACAAAGTAATATACCTGAGAGTTAGGGCATTGGGTTTGCTAGTGATACTGCTGCTGCTGCTGCCACTGCTGCTGCTGCTTGTGCTGCCGCTGCTGCTGCTTGTGCTGCCGCTGCTGCCGATGGCTGAAGATACAGTACACTCATAGTGGCTTTGCTTTGAGCAACCAGTGTGGTTCAATCTGTATAATGATACAGCAGACATGCACAAGCAGACAAAAGCACCAAAAATCACACATGAACGCATGCACATACCCGCATACACCGGCACACATACACCCACAAAGTTGAACAAACACACACACACACACACACACACACACCGGTACACATGTCCGCAAACACAAACATACCCACACAGACGAGAAATGGCGAAAGAAAGAAGAAATGAATGTTAGTAAGTAGAAGCAAACATCACAACAGAGAAAAGAACATGCCTCATTATGCACGGTGAGGGAGGGAGGTCAACTGTGCTGGACTGTTACTATGGTGACTGTGACTATGGTGACTGTGACTATGGTGACTGTGACTATGGTGACTGTGACTATGGTGACTGTGACACGCACGCAGACAGACAGACAGACATACAGACAGACATACAGACATACAGACAGACATACAGACAGACATACAGACAGACATACAGACAGACATACAGACAGACATACAGACAGACACGGAGACAGACAGACACACACACATACAAAACAGCCACACACAATTTCACACTTACCGTCTCTAGGCTGACGGTCACCAGGAAGCAGTGCAATCATCTTCCTGTACAAAACTTCATACTTCAGGCCTTGAATAGCTGTACATAGCTTTTCGTATGTGTCCATCCCTCCAGCATGAATGTACCTGATGATCTTGACATTATGGTTCTCCAATGGCTCATACTTCTCCAGGCGTATTAATTCATCGAATTCACTGAGACTCTGTAGCAGACCTTGTCTCTGTACACTGCTGCGAAACCTTGAACAAGGTATTGTGCATAACTTCGGCAGGATTTGAACTGTAAAAGTGTGTGTGTCGAAAGGATTATCTATAGTGGAGCACGCACATAAAAAGCATACGAGAAACGGATTTGCAAATGGTTCCCAAAGTTACTTCAAAGTCCCAGCAGTCCATACGTTTCATACAGAAGTCTGTAATGTAGATGTATATTACAGGACATAAACCACACGCAGAGGTTACGTCATGAACCACACGCAGAGGTTACGTCATGAACCACACACAGAGGTTACGTCATGCAACACACGCAGAGGTTACATCATGAACCACACGCACAGGTTACGTCATGAAACACACGCAGAGGTTACGTCATGAAACACACACAGAGGTTACGTCATGAAACACACCCAGAGGTTACGTCACGAAACACACACAGAGGTTACGTCATGAAACACACGCAGAGGTTACGTCATGAAACACACATAGAGGTTACATCATGAACCACACGCCCAGGTTACGTCACGAAACACACACAGAGGTTATGTCACGAAACACACGCAGAGGTTACGTCACGAAACACACATAGAGGTTACGTCATGAAACACACGCAGAGGTTACGTCACGAAACACACGCAGAGGTTACGTCACGAAACACACACAGAGGTTACGTCACGAAACACACACAGAGGTTACGTCATGAAACACACGCAGAGGTTACGTCACGAAACACACATAGAGGTTACGTCATGAAACACACGCAGAGGTTACGTCACGAAACACACGCAGAGGTTACGTCACGAAACTCACACAGAGGTTACGTCATGAAACACACGCAGAGGTTACGTCATGAAACACACGCAGAGGTTACGTCACGAAACACACGCAGAGGTTACGTCACGAAACTCACACAGAGGTTACGTCATGAAACACACACAGAGGTTACGTCATGAACCACACGCAGAGGTTACGTCATGAACCACACGCAGAGGTTACGTCACGAAACACACACAGAGGTTACGTCACGAAACACACACAGAGGTTACGTCACGAAACACACACAGAGGTTACGTCACGAAACACACGCAGAGGTTACGTCATGAAACACACGCAGAGGTTACGTCATGAAACACACGCAGAGGTTACGTCATGAAACCCACACAGAGGTTACGTCATGAACCACACACAGAGGTTACGTCACGAAACACACATAGAGGTTACGTCATGAAACACACGCAGAGGTTACGTCACGAAACACCCGCAGAGGTTACGTCACGAAACTCACACAGAGGTTACGTCATGAAACACACGCAGAGGTAACGTCACGAAACACACACAGAGGTTACGTCACGAAACACACATAGAGGTTACGTCATGAAACACACGCAGAGGTTACGTCACGAAACACACGCAGAGGTTACGTCACGAAACTCACACGCAGAGGTTACGTCATGAACCACACACAGAGGTTACGTCATGAACCACACGCAGAGGTTACGTCATGAACCACACGCAGAGGTTACGTCATGAAACACACACAGAGGTTACGTCATGAAACACAACCACACAGAGGTTACGTTATGAAACACACACAGAGGTTACGTCATGAACCACACACATCTACCCTGTATAGAGTATCACTATTCTAACAGAAACCACAGGAGAATCCGAGGATGAGTTTCCAACATTATATTTCGAAATGTCTCATTGTATTTCCCTATGGTTTCTGCACAAAGTGTAGGGTAGAGCAGAGCTAGACTTGGTCGGACAATGCGGAGCTGGACGGGTACTACAGAGTTGGAGTTAGAACAGGGCATAGAGATAGTGCGGCAAAGTGGAGGTGATGGGGAAAAGTGGAGATGATGGGGGAAAAGTGGAGATGGTGGAGCAAAGTGGAGGTGATGGGGAAAAGTGGAGATGGTGGAGCAAAGTGGAGGTGATGGGGAAAAGTGGAGATGGTGGAGCAAAGTGGAGGTGATGGGGAAAAGTGGAGGTGATGGGGAAAAGTGGAGATGGTGGAGCAAAGTGGAGGTGATGGGGAAAAGTGGAGATGGTGGGGGAAAGTGGAGGTGATGGGGAAAAGTGGAGGTGGTTTTGTAAAAAGTGGAGGTGTATGCGAATGTGAAGTGTTTGGGTGAGATAGTCGTTATGCTGGGAATTGTGGTTCTTCACATACCTGTGCTCTCTGATGCTACTCCTGGTGCTGCTGCTGCTGCTACTCCTGGTGCTGCTGCTGCTTGACTTGCTGCTGCTAGTCCTGCTGCTAGTCCTGCTGCTGCTTGACTTGCTGCTGAGACTCCTGCTACTCCTGGTGCTGCTGCTGCTGCTGCTACTCCTGGTGGTGCTGCTGCTGCTGCTACTCCTGGTGCTGCTGCTGATGCAACTCCTGCTGCTACTCCTGCTGCCGATTGACTTTCTGCTGAGACTGCTGCTGCTGCTGCTGCTGCTTCGGCTTCTGTTCCAACAAGGAGAGAGATCAAGAGAACACTATTGAATAACATGAAGTCCTGTCTAGGCAAGTGATCATCATGAATATGAAATAGCAGAGATTGTGAAGTAAAAGGTACTCACCCTGGACCAGAGTGTAGTGATCAGAGTCCACGATCAGCTTATCCGTAACTTGCATTGCATGGAGGTGAGATCGTAGCATTCCCATGCTGTAAATCAAAAAACACATCAAATACTTAGACACAGAAACACGCATACCCGCATAGTGATAACATCATACACACACATTCACACACACACACACCACGACACAGACACACACATACACACTTGTACTGTACTTGTTGTTCACTGCCAAAACTGGTCACGTGGGTCTCCCCGGGAGAGGGGAGAGAGACTCAAAAGGAATCTTGGAAAGATGACTCAATTGACTATTGAACCGCCCAACGGCCGACACCCTCTGAAATCTCCAAAACTCTGGGTGGACTAGAACATGATTCCACTTATGGGCTCACCACACCTCAGTAAGTGGGTGAGGACAAGGTGCAGAAAAAGGATTGACGGCATCAGAGTATCCGTCCTGGGATCCAACTGCAGTTACCCCTACCCCCAGTGAAGGTAATACGTGCTACTAGTGTGGGTGGCTAAATCAGAGTGGATCTGATATAAGCTTCACTAGTACCATTGATAACACAAGATTTATTCCAGCCAGAAGCAGTCCATGATTAGCAGGTATGTATGTATACTTCAAATAGAAAGTATATGAACCCTGGAACCAACAAAGGTGGTAGGTACAACATTACACATTCAAGCAGCTGAGCCCGTTGGCAACAGACCCAACACAATCCGGCATAAGTGTACCCACCAACCAAACTAGCTGGCACACACACACACACACACACACACACACACACACACACACACACACACACACACACACACACACACACACATATACACACACACAATCACACCCACACACCAATGCAAGCAAACACACGTGTGCACACACACATACACACATACACACTCACACACCCGCACACAAGCAGAGATGAAAACCATAAATTTTGGTATACATTCAGACTGTTTAATGTATAGCTATCAGCCGTACCAAGAGTCCATAAACAAGAATATGCGACTGTGTTCTCTTTTCTATGGGCCAGATGTGGGGGGGGGGGGGGGGGGGCGCTGCCTTCATTACAGCATTCAGCTGCGGTCTGCGCACTTCAGAAAATCAAACACCGCACTTTCCCTCTGGTTTGAACTAAATTCTCGTACGGAACTGAAGTTCACGCGCCAAAATTTAGAGATTGGGTAGGTACTGGAATGAATTGAGCAAAACGGATGGGTTTGTACGAGAAATTGTGGGTTTGAGTGCATGTTTTCAGAGCGTTAATGGAAGCAAGTTAGGTAATGAAGGCAGTGTACCGCGCACTGACCCATAACCACAATTGCATACTCTTGTTTATGCACTATTGGCCATAGTAACAGATGTGATTGCAGAATACAATGCACACTTCAAAGGTACTGCAGAGTACACTGGAGTTCTTAAGAGTAATTTCCACTAACATCCATTCATCACTAGGAGAAATGAAACCAACTTGACAGAAATGTTTTACTCACGAGGGATTCTGTCCCAGGAATGACGTCTCGTGTGCAGTTGGGAAGCAATCATCCGCCAAGGGTATGTCTGTTAGAAGGCATGTAGACAAACATAACACATACAATCAGAGATTGAGTGTGTACAAGACAAAACACTGGACGTGTTGAAAACATAGGCAAGAACAGGATATCCATGTCACACTGACATCATTACGATAAACTGTATAAACATGCATGCAAGTATTCTCCATTGTTTCTAACAAAAAAACAAAAACAAATCAATACACATTCAGGGGCGTCGGAACCGGTGCGCTAGGAGCGGCCAAAGCCGCACCAATAATTTTCGAAGTTTTTTTAGCGCCAGCGCCAGCGAGAGTGACATGGATGCCACAAACGACGAGTGTCGCTGAAATAAGTGCTACTAATGGTGGAAGGGGACGTGGCAGAGGATGTGGCAGAGGGAGACGGCGCGGCCGGGGAATAGGAAGTGATCACGGTACAGCCAGCAGTGCAACCTGCACTAGTCTTGGGACGATGCTGACACTGCTGTGACAGGTAACACTCCTGCATTTCACCCAGAGAACGAACCTGGTGTCCACTTACCTGAGGGAACCACTCCAGTGCAGGAATGTAACTCAGTTTCTTGCATATCGCAATAGTTTGCCCGATCAAACCAAATTATCAGTGCTAAATAGTGAAATTTTTGTTCGTTTCAGGACTTGAAAGTTGTTGCAGCACATTTCTGAGGGCTTTCACTTTCAGAATCAGCATAATGTTGTACAATAATAAAAGTGAAAAATAAAAAAGTTACGACATGAACAATGACGGCCGGCTTTTGCTGTACAAATACCTTAAACGGTAAAAGGTTAATATTTATTCAACTGTTTCGCTCTGTTAGAGCTTCTCAGCACAGCTCAGAGGACCGAAGCGCAGCTCTTTGCAATGAAATACGTTTCCGTGAAGCAAAGAATTTTTATAAAGAGCTGCGAACCCCGCCAAGAGTGCTCGAAATGCTCCAAGAGCAGTGAGCGTTGCACAAGGCGAGCGGCAAGGGTTCGCGCTAAGGTAAGAGTGCTCAACCTAACGACACGTATACGTGATACCTAAACTTACTCTCAAGCTGACAGCGAAGACGCTCTTCCTGGTTGAAACGCTGTTGCTCATAGGTGATGGTGTCAGGAAATGCGTGCAGAAGCTGTAAAAAGGCAGATATGCACACATATACACACAAATACACACATAAACAGACAGACACACACACACACACACACACACACACACACACATACACACACACATGTAAACACATACACACATATAAACATAAGAAAAATGAGAAGTTAGAATGGAAAAGAATGATTCCTTGAGAGAACAAAGAATGGATGCATCATTATCCTTCTGTCTATAATGGCAAAAATCATTAAAAAAATTGAACGAAAAACAGACATCTAAAATAGTCCTGTAATTATCCAAAGGGCAGCTTTCTCATGTTTTCAAAGTAAAACTCAAGAAAAGTGACATGAGAAACTCAAGAAATTAGAAAAAACTTTCGAATGAAATTGTCACTCACCATGCTCTCATTGTCTACAAGCATCCTGCAGATCTCTCGGTAGCAGTTGGCAAATGGCGAAGAAGAACAACGCTGTGCTATCAAGCTAAATAGCAGTGTGGATGAGCGACGATGACTTTTGCTGCACCACGCTAGCAAAACCAGTGAGGCATTGAGCCGACTGGGTTCAGTGGATGACACTGACGTGGCTCCAGCAAGCCGGCTGATTTCGCTCGCACCAACGTCTAGATGTGATTGGAGATCGCCTAGGAATGCTGAATCTCGCAGATTCTCCAGTCGATCCGTACAGCGGGGAGGAAGCATGCTGACGTGCGTGGCGGGAACGTAGTGAAGATCTACGACTGAGTCAACAAACAAACCGCTGGCATCTTTGACATCTTTGCTGTGCGCGCTGTTGGCAGCACGAATGACGTCTTCGCATGAGTATGATGCAACAGCTGAAGAGATTGCAGCTGGTGAAGCCGATCGCTGGATAAGCTGACGCATGCTGCTCAGGCTGAGTACAGTGGGCTCTACCGAAGTACCACGACTGTATCTCTTCAGTAGCTCAAGGAAGAGAGCACGAAACAGCCAGTGCACATGGTGAACGACTTGCAGGTACCTACTGGAACTGGACGTCACTACAATACAACAGCGCAGGCGGTCGAACGAAAACACAACAAGCGCTGTTGTGTGCGGGTATGGGTGGACAATGATGGTGTTCTTGAAGAATATGGGATCAGTACTGGAGAAAAAGCAGGCGGAGTAGTCGTACACGCGTGCTTGGCATTGAACAATGAGTGCAGATGAGAATGGCACACAGCCATTGCAGGTATACACAGAACCTACCATCGCTTGTGAGGTCATGAAGGCGTTGTGCACCTTCAATGGCTTTGTACACTCGGGAAACAGGGAGAGAGCAAGGATATCTTTCTGATAGCGGATGGACAAGCCGAGTTGTAGAACCATATGCACGCAGAGTGGAGCTTTTTCGCCGACTTTGGCGAAGGCAGTCAGAGAACGGACGAACTCCTCTTCACTTATCTTGTATTCCCTGGCAATGCCATCAGGGCGGTGGGGGAAGACGTCGGAAGAGTACATAAACCCGATCACGTCCTGCAGGAGCCAGCGAGGCTGATGAACCACCAGATCATTCAGCTCTGGGAATGTGATGATCTTTAGCAGTATCAAAGGCATACCACATGCACACACACACATGGACACACACATGCACACACACATATGGACACACACATATACACACACAAACACATATACACACAGAAACACACACACACATATGGACACACACATATACACACACACACACACACACACACACACACACACACACACACACACACACACACACATGGACACACACACATATACACACACAAACAAACATACACACACATATACACACACACACATATGGACACACACATATACACACACACACACACACACACACACACACACACACACACACACACATGGACACACACACATATACACACACAAACAAACATACACACACATATACACACACACACATATGGACACACACACACACACACACACACACACACACACACACACACACACACACACACACATGGACACACACACATATACACACACAAACAAACATACACACACATATACACACACACACATATGGACACACACACACACACACACACATATGGACACACACATATACGCAAACACACTTATGGACACAAACACGCATGGACACACACAGCAGAAATGTACATCAAGTACAAAGAATCATAAAGCTAAATTTGTCTCCCAGTATCTTTTGTATAAAGCTCAATTATACAAACTAACAGCCTAATGGTGTGCATACAGCATCAACTTTTCCGGTTACGTTTTGCACCGGACTTCCGTATTTTTCATCAATTCATGGCACTCTGCCCATTTCCTCTTATACTGTAAGACCAGTAGTGTTAACGAACATTTAATTCTAGCAATTTAACGCATTTAAATAATACGTTAAAATTTTAAGTCATTACAGTATTTTTCGGAGTATAGCGCGCACCTTTGTATAACGCGCACCCCCAATCTTCATTGGGGGTGCGCACTTCAATCTGCATTGAAGTACATGCATTTCATATTCGGAGCATAGTGCGCACCTGCGATTTAGGGCCTAAAATAACACATCTAAAGTGCGCACTATACTCCGGAAAATACGGTATGTACGAGGTGATTATGCATTTCTAAGCATTTTTTCGTTTCTAAGCAAATGCGTAAAATCAGCAAACCGTCTCGTACATATCCAATGCATGCGGTACAATATTCCAAATATAGCACAGTGAGAGACTTCCCTCGGTCTTCATCTTCCTTTCCCAGCATGTGTTTTGTTCAAGAAGACTAGGTTTGTCCTTATTTTAGTTTGTTGCTCTTCGCGATCGCTTCAGTAGCAGAAATAATGTAAAATCGCCCTTTTATGGATCCCTTTTGTGAGGAGCCTGCCGAACCAGGCCCAGAAAGTTCATGTAATAGCAGTAGTAGCGACAGCACTGGATCTGCTAATGGAGAAGAAAGCCATAAAACGACTTCTGATACAGATATGGCATCAAATATTGAGCCGGATGAACCCAGCACAGATTCAGCTAGCAAGCGAGCAACGCTCGCTGTCAGAGCATTCTATTCTCCTGTGACGAGCAATGCATTTCATTAGCTAGAGTAGAATGGAGTGTTAGTGTGACGGTGAAGGTGTGGGGTGACGGTGTGGGGTGACGGTGTGGGGTGACGGTGTGGGGTGACGGTGTGGGGTGACGGTGTGGGGTGCCGGTGTGGGGTGCCGGTGTGGGGTGACGGTGTGGGGCGACGGTGTGGGGTGACGCTGTGGGGTGACGCTGTGGGGCGACAGTGTGGGGTGACGGTGTGGGGTAAAGGTGTGGGGCGACGGTGTGGGGCGACGGTGTGGGGCGACGGTGTGGGGTGACGGTGTGGGGTGACGGTGTGGGGTGACGGTGTGGGGCGACGGTGTGGGGCGACGGTGTGGGGCGACGGTGTGGGGGGGGGGGGCGGTGTGGGGTGACGGTGTGGGGTGACAATGTGGGGTGACGGTGTGGGGTGACGGTGTGGGGTGACGGTGTGGGGTGACGGTGTGGGGCGACGGTGTGGGGTGACGCTGTGGGGTGACGGTGTGGGGTGACGGTGTGGGGTGACAGTGTGGGGTGACGGTGTGGGGTGACGGTGTGGGGCGACGGTGTGGGGCGCCGGTGTGGGGCGACTGTGTGGGGTGACGGTGTGGGGCGACGGTGATGGTGTGGGGCGACGGTGTGGGGCGCCGGTGTGGGGCGACGGTGTGGGGTGACGGTGTGGGGCGACTGTGTGGGGTGACGGTGTGGGGTGACGGTGTGGGGTGACAGTGTGGGGTGACTGTGTGGGGTGACGGTGTGGGGTGACGGTGTGGGATGACAGTGTGGGGCGACGGTTTGGGGTGACGCTGTGGGGTGACGGTGTGGGGTGACGCTGTGGGGTGATGGTGTGGGGCGACGGTGTGGGGCGACGGTGTGGGGTGACGGTGTGGGGTGACGGTTTGGGGTGACGGTGTGGGGTGACGGTGTGGGGTGACGGTGTGGGATGACGGTGTGGGGTGACGGTGTGGGGTGACGGTGTGGGGTGACGGTGTGGGGTGACGGTGTGTGGTGACGGTGTGGGGTGACGGTGTGGGGTGATGGTGACAGTGTGGGGTGACGGTGTGGGGTGACGGTGTGGGGTGACGGTGTGGGGTGACGGTGTGGGGCGACGGTGTAGGGTGACGGTGTGGGGTGACGGTGTGGGGTGACGGTGTGGGTTGACGGTGTGGGTTGACGGTGTGGGGTGACGGTGTGGGGTGACGGTGTGGGGTGACGGTGTAGGGTGACGGTGTGTGGTGACGGTGTGGGGTGACGGTGTGGGGTGACGGTGTGGGGTGACGGTGTGGGGTGATTGTGTGGGGTGACGGTGTGGGGTGACGGTGTGGGGTGACGGTGTGTGGTGACGGTGTGGGGTGACGGTGTGGGGTGATGGTGTGGGGTCACGGTGTGGGGTGACGGTGTGGGGTGACGGTGTGGGGTGACGGTGTGGGGTGACGGTGTGGTTCATGAAGTTAGTGTGGGGTGACGGTGTGAAGTGACGGCGTGGGGTGACGGTGTGGGTGTGGGGTGACGGTGTGGTTCGTGAAGTTAGTGTTGGGTGACGGTGTGGGGTGACGGTTTGGTTCATGAAGTTAGTGTGGGGTGACGGTTTGGTTCATGAAGTTAGTGTGGGGTGACGGTTTGGTTCATGAAGTTAGTGTGGGGTGACGGTGTGGGGTGACGGTGTGGGGTGACGGTCTGGGTGTGGGGTGACGGTGTGGTTCGTGAAGTTAGTGTGGGGTGACGGTGTGGTTCATGAAGTTAGTGTGGGGTGACGGTGTGGTTCATGAAGTTAGTGTGGGGTGACGGTGTGGTTCATGAAGTTAGTGTGGGGTGACGGTGTGGTTCATGAAGTTAGTGTGACGGTGACGGTGTGGTTCGTGAAGTTAGTGTGACGGTGACGGTGTGGTTCATGAAGTTAGTGTGGGGTGACGGTGTGGTTCATGAAGTTAGTGTGCGGTGACGGTGTGGTTCATGAAGTTAGTGTGACGGTGACGGTGTGGTTCGTGAAGTTAGTGTGACGGTGACGGTGTGGTTCATGAAGTTAGTGTGGGGTGACGGTGTGGTTCATAAAGTTAGTGTGGGGTGACGGTGTGGTTCGTGAAGTTAGTGTGGGGTGACGGTGTGGTTCATGAAGTTAGTGTGGGGTGACGGTGTGGTTCATGAAGTTAGTGTGGGGTGACGGTGTGGTTCATGAAGTTCTCGCAGAAACTCAGACCAAAGTATTCAATTGTGAGGATTACGTGTGTGCAAACTCATGCTAGTCGGGCATGAACATGAACGATATCTAGAATGTAACACATCATGCAGGCTATAAGGGTGCTCATCTTCTAAAGCATGAAGTCATAATGAGCTTTGAGCATGACAAAACCTCAGGGTGAATAGGGAAATTCAACTGCACACATCAACCTTTTTCTAAGTATCATTTTTAATGACTGTACACACAGAAATTCATCATGCCATGTCAACATTGCTATTAATGCATTCCTCTTACATATCCGTAAGCAGTCAGGACGCGTAGAAAGCTGTCGATCTGCTCAGTGAGTCGTTTCGGCAGTGCGTCTTTGGTTCCTTGGATTGCCTTCTTGAATGCCGCAACGAACTCGGCTCTTGAGCAATACGGACTGGGCATAGCTGCCTCAACCTCATCCAAATGCTGCCGAGCATTCTGCAGCAAACGTGGTTGCTTGGGAGATTTCTGCACACAAAGTTGAAATGGTACGAAAGAGTGGTAGCGACCTTGGTGATAATTTTATAGGAAAGTGTTTGCCTGCCACTTGGGAGTTCACCCTTGACTCGACAGTTGGCTGACTCGCGACTGCCATCCAGAGCATACAAAAAGTTCATTGAACCTTTGGCTCGGCAAATGTGCAATGAAGCACCCGTCCCTGCTCAACACCTTCCAGAGCTTAAAACTGATAAGGGGGGAATTCCCCGAAACATGGTCTAGTGAGCAGGGTGTGGTGCTTTCTTGCAGGTCTTGCAGGTTTGCCGAGTGGAAGGTGCAACGTGCTCCTCGTGCACTCCGTATGGCAGTCGCGATTCAGTCAAGTGTCAAGTTCGGCATGAAGCGTGTGTTCCTCATTGGAACAACCAACTTCATGACTAATACTGCCGACGTCGCAACTTCTAAGTTCCTCAAAAGGGGTTTGAGAAAAATCTTACTGCTAATACTGCTGAAAACTGTCATGACGACTTTCCCTATACTGCAGCTCTATCCAGAGGTTTGAATGCACCCTAACAATATTGATTGTGACCCTGCACCATGGTAAGAATGGATATCATCACCCATGCTGAAAAATTGGATGGATGGACGAGTAAGAGAGTTTTCTCTCTCGGATACGTTAAAGGGGAATAATAATAATAATAATGACAGTTCGCATTTCACTCATTGCATGAGGTCAACGCATCTGTTAACAATTTCGAGCCAAGCAGCTCTATCAGAAGCAGATTGCACAGCATCCAGATAAAGGGGAAGTTAAGCCTAAAATCAAATTTTCACCAGTTGTAGTTTTTGAGGTGCTGAGTCGAATGGTCTTGGTCCGAGGAAGCTGAGAAGGTCCCTTCCTCCTTTATTCCCAATCGAACTCGCGCACTTCCACCGAATCTGGGTGCCTGCTGGTGAAGGTATGCAACTGTGTCAGCATGCCATTTCCGTCCTTGATTTTTGCCACGAACGAATTCGCCACAGTCTTGGAATTTGCAGGGATCTTTTGGTCAACAGTGGTGACACGCCTGCAAACCAATTGTTTTCGTCTCAAGAAGCGACTTAACCATCCACCTGACTCCTTGAATCCGTTCAAATCTTCTCCGTAAATGTCCCATGTGATCTGCTGCCCCTTCATACAAATATTGCCCGAGCTACGCCACTGTGCACTGTACCTGTAGACCTGTACTTATTTCAGGCGCACTTTCCTGACAAGCGTCACGCAAGCGTGTGACTACCCATCACAAGTACAAGCGGAGTTCACTTCATGGTTGGCAGTGAGTTACACGTGGGAGGAAGAGTCGTAGATCAAAGGAAGAGGGTTGCTGAGATAGAGAAAGTTTTTGGAGGAGTTTGATGATAATGATGGTATTGAGTGGGATGGTGAAAGTGATGAGGAAGCTAGCGCAGAGGACGGAGAACGGGACGGCTTGCTTGTTGTATCCTTGGCTTTTGGCCGTTACTTTATCGCCATCGTAATATTGGGCACCATTGCCCGTTTGGTCTGTGATACAAAATAAAATTTCAACAACAACTGCGCCCTACTAGATGGGGGTTTGTAGGCAAAATGTCACTAAAAGCGCCATTTTGTTCTTATAAAAGCACGGATGGCCGCGATTGGTCCATATGTTTTAATCTTTTGGATGCTGAGTCGACTGGTTTTGGTCTGAAAAGGCTGCGATGCAGCGTTCGGCCCTTATTCCCAATCGAACATGGTTGAACAAGCGGTCACGTCCTCCTGCTTACACTAGTCACCTGGTCACCGCGCAAGCAGGCGACAACTTTCACACCAAGGTTTAACTCAAATGTTCAAAGATTCAACTCGAGTGACAGGAACTCTGTAAAAATTGGAGCCTGCAGGCCGAACGCTGCATTGCAGCCTTTTCGGAACAAAACCAGTCGACTCAGCATCCAAAAGACTACAACATAATGGATCAATCGCGGTCATCCATGCTTTTATGAGAACAAAACGGCACTTTTAGTGACTTTTGCATCAAATCCCCATCTAGTAGGGCGCAGTCACCCAGTTTCGGTGGAAGTGTGCGAGTTCGTATCGGAACTAGTAGGGCGCAGTCACCCAGTTTCGGTGGAAGTGTGCGAGTTCGATTGGGAATAAAGGAGGAAGGGAGCGTCTCAGCTTCCTCGGAATAAGACCATTCGACTCAGACCCCGAAGACTACAACTGGTGGAATTTTGATTTTAGGGTTTACGTCCCCTTTGAAATGCATAGCAGTTCTCTAAGACGCATCCTTGAGGGGGTGGGGAGAAGGGGGAGGAAAGGGGAGGAGAAGGGGGGGGGAGGAGAAGGGGGAGGGAGAAAAGGGAGAGAGAGGGAGGCGGGCTACTCAACCAGCTACTAGACCAACACTCAAGACAAAGTAAATTTACCATATTTGGGAAATGAGAAATCTTACCGCCAACACTCGATGAACCAAGTGCATGAAATCTCTCCTTAGATCATTCATGCTGTAACTGTTGGACTTTCTAGCATCCACTACTCTCACAAAGCAGAGATCCAAGTGCTGAGAGAATGCTTTCATTCCTCTCTTTATGGCCTTCTCCACTTCAGTGCGCTCTTCAGGTGTTAGCTGATCAGCTCGTGTGGCAATTGCGATAACATCAAGTTTCTGCGTCTGCTGCAGTTCTTCTTGCTGCTGCTCGTGTGGCTGCTGCTGCTGCTCTTGTTGCTCAGTCAGTGGGGAGCCTGATAATGCAAGAACACAAAGTGACACAATTGCCAATAACATGCATTACCAGTACATGATTACACAATCAGTCAATCTAGGACAGTGAAGTATTCCCTGTTCTTCCTCGTATGCCAGAATGGAGAAGATTGCAAGTCTATCCATCCCAGGATCATGTCACGGCATTACTATTTTGAGTGATATGGGCACCAGGGCAGCCTGATGATCAACTGTTTGTCGTTTTCGGCATGTTTTCTGCTGAGAAAACCTGTGATTGAACAGGAAACTGGAAGGGTCTGTTCTTTTTTCATAACTTTGTGGCTGCAGGTAGAGATATACGTGCAGTGTTCATGATTGGCTGAATAGATCATGTGACATGCAAGAAAATCATCCATTGCTATCCACTTACCATCATCAGGTGCAGACAGGCGACAAACAATATTGGCGGCAGTTGCACTGACAGTCTGTGTGATCTTATCAACACACTCTGTGCCGTCCACCACTATTGCGGCAACAGATGGTGTTGCCATGGAAACCGTGAATATATCATGTGACACGTTATAATGTTCTTGGCCAGCAAAGTCGCGAAAATGCACCTTCACCTGCGATTGGTTGTAAATGGTTTCTTCAATTCCCTACATGGAAAAGATAAAACAATTCAAAATTGAATGTGCCCTGAGAAAGCAAATACCGTATTGGCTGGTGTATAGCGCGCACCCTGAGCAGTAAATTTTGAAGCTCAAATCTGCAGTGCACACTATACACCGAATACGAGAATCTAGTACAAAAGTGCCAGAGTGCAAGTGTGCAGGTGTGCACTTTACACGTAATGCACTGTATCGTACGCAGCGAGTGCTCAGGCTCATCGACGTTCGAGAACATCCACGGAAAAAAACAATGTTGTTTTTATGTTCACAGTTCGTAATTCCATCAATTTCATAGTCATAGTCTGACTCACCGGAAAATATTCTTAAGTTTTGCCATCCTTTGACGAGATCAATTTCAGAAGCAAATATCCCCGATTTGACTGCGCGTTATACACCGAATAGAGCCATTTTGTGTGAATTTGTGGTTGAACATTGTGGGTGCGCGTTATACAAAGGTGCACAATATACTCGGGCAAATACGGTACTGTACAAATTACACCCAGCTCAGTACCACCATACTGGTCTAAAGCAACAGAATAGCATAGCTATATGTTGATACTATACATAGCAGTGCATGGCAGCACAATCAGGTACCTTATTGTCTGGAGTACAGTATAGTGCGCACTATGTCCGAATGTGAAAATGCATGTACGTCGAAAAGTAGTGAAATGCATCAAATTGTTGCGAAGTTTGCCACCTCTCACTCTGCTCAAGCGGTCATATCTGTGTACTTCTAGTGTCTACTGCCAGCTACACTGCTAATACATGATGGGTACGAGACCCCAGTGGTAGCATGTGCATTTTACATATGTACATGTGAATCATCTTATGATAAATTCTAACGATGGTCACACCATATTGTTGTCTTTTTAAAGGTCGATAATGCCGTCAAATCAAGGCCGCTCATTATACTCCGGACATAACTTGAATTGCCAAAACATTGCTCCAAAATGGGGATGCGCATTATGCTCAGGAGCGTGTTATACGCCTGCAAATACTGTATTTTATATATTTTTATCGCATGGTGATTTATCAGTTGTACGCTTACGAGTACAATGTTGTTTTGTTTTACGAGTACAATGTTGTTTTTGGTGGTAATGTAATCAGTCGAATTACAATGTGTCCAATATACATGAATTACTGAGCACATTCAACATTGCTTTCAACTCACCTTTGTTCGGGATGCTAAATCCTTTGCCTTCATGTCCGGTTGATTCTCCTGACGTAGTAGTGTATTGAAGAAACCTTCTGCTGTGAAGGATGCAATGAAGGTAGATTTCCCTGACCCTTCTGCTCCGCACACGCTGGCAATCAGTTCAGTAGGATCAGTGTAACCCTCGATACCAAACTCTGCACAGATCAAGCTGGTCTGGAGCATACAAATGCAGCACACAACAACAATGCCCAATGCATGTAAGTTGAACACATGAACTACAGTTGTGCTCTATGAAATCAAACCCATAATGCACAGCTGGCACCTTCAACAAGTTGCGATTACATTACAGAGTTTTTGCCACACAGTAAGATGTGCCAAAGTACGGATGGAAACCTTGCTGTGGCTCGAAATCAAAATTCACACAGATTTCATACCGTTCTCTGTGCGAAGCGTGCTTTACACGGACTGGTCACCGTATGAAGGTACGCTTTCCAACGGCCAAAGAGAGTTGGAAAGCTTGTGTCTTTGTGGGTAACTTGAACATTTGGGCTCATGCAAAATCGCACCGATTTTGGGATTTCCCCACAACTTTTTGCGTCAGCAAAAATGTTGTGCTGGACCGCATTCCTGTCACTTCGCAGTGGCTTTTCGTTGGTGCAGTTTGTACGCCATTGCCGAGCCACCGTGCTCACAGCAGAGACTTCTGTGTGTGTTATTGTTGTGAAGTGGACCACAAAGACCAACTATGATTTTGAGCATGAACTGACCGCGCAGACTACAGGTACATCAGAGGCCTAGCCAAAGCCGGCTCAGCCGGCATTCTATCTCGGCAGAATGCCGGCTGGGAGGGCGACCTGCCGGCTGAGACAGCTCCAAGGGTTATTTTGGCCGGCTGGCAAACAATTGAGATTCAGAGAAATTTTCAGTTTCTACAAGTACAAGTATTAATTTTGTAGCATGCTGTGTTCGGGATCATTTTTCTTTCAATCATGTCACCAAGCCCACTATCCTCCACCAAGGTAAGAGTCGACCACTGTCAGCTGTCGAAAATAGGTCCAGTTTCTGCCACTACAATGTCGTGGAAACAGAACAGAACGACCAGCACGGCGGCAGCAGCGAAAACTACTTCCACTGTACTGGCACTGCACTACAGTGCACTGTACTTGCGTAGATCATAAGTGCACTGCACTAGCACTTGAGTCAGTAGATCTACGTAGCAGAGGCTACTCAGGCTCAGTGCTAGCTCTTCACTCACCCTGAAGCCTAGGCTGAAATGCACTTGAGTATGCACTTGAGTACAGTCATGTACGTCGTTGGTGCGCAGAGTGCCAGTAATAAAATGTAACAGGTGCTAGGTCGGTCATGGCTCGCTGCTTCCGGTGGGTACACGGCTAGCTGTGACACTGACAGCTACAGACTCTGGACTGTCATTATCGTGGGCCAGTCGTGGCTAGGCTGGGTCTTGTGCATGCTGCATTTCGGAACACATGACCATCGGCATTGTACACTACTCCAGTTGTTTTGGTGGACCACTCAGGCACTGCATTGCTTTAGTTGTGGCACTTCAAGTAGTTCCTCCACGTTGCTTTAGTGAACACATGATCCATGCTGATGTAGCTGTTTATTTCTTTTTTCATATTAATATTTTTGTTAATTTACCCATAGTCACAATGTCATTGTCACAACTGCCTGATAAATGTCCATAATTGGACGAAGCGAAAGGAGATGCAAGCTGCAATGAAAGATTTGTAGTGGTGTGTGTGTGTGTGTGTGTCTGTGTGGATATGTGAGTGATGGCGGGGGTCTGGGGGCGCAGCCCCCAGAACGATGCATTTTCACTAGAACGTTGGCCGGCTGGCATAAAATCCTGGCTAGACCTCTGTACATGTGGCAGGAAGTTGCCTGGGGTACTCTTGAATGATCGCCAAACTAACTGCTCCACTTAGGAAACCAACAACAGTTTACTGAAGGGAAATACATCTCCAGTTTTTGCCTCCAACAAGTGGCGACTTTCGACACTCATTACACCTCATAAGTATGTTCTGTCATGGTGTATTGACTTTGTCGTCCCTTGCGATCCTGACCTTCTCTTTCCCGTCACGTCTATTCTTCCCCTTGGATCTTCTGCTCTGAGCCAGAGTGCCACAGCTGCTGATCGTGAGCAACCAGCTCCAAGCATTCGTCCCAATGCTACGCCACAACACAATATAGGGCTGATCCAGAGTGAGTTTGGGGTTCTCTCAATACAGACCTGGGATATCTAGTGCCCTTACTGGGGTTCTGTCCATCCTCCACTCTACCCTGGAATTCTCTCTCTCATTCTCCCTCTCATTCAAGTTATGGGTGTTGAGGTCACGCAATATTCTGCTTCCCCTGTTCTCTTTGGTGTCACGCTAGGATCAATCCCCCCCCCCCCCCCGGTTACCCCCCCCCCCCCCCCGTCCCCCTGCACCCCCACCCCAGATCTCACCTGAATCCATTCCAATGCTTGCCTTTCCCCTCGAACTTGAGCTATACTACTGGCTTCCTCCACTATCTTCTTGGCCTGGATTGGAAACACAGAATCAATATTGGTATAGCAGTAGAGTCTTCCCTTCGTCAATTTTACTGTTAGTCACAACAACCACCACATATCCATAATACCACCGAACACCACCAGCCATTCTACTTGCTACACCGTATATAGCACAGGTGCATGGTAAGAGATGGTAGACATTTCAGACAGTGCTCAATATGTTAACAAAATAAGTTGACTAAAGGAAGGAGTAACAAGACATGCACTGTACACGATGATGATACCAACACACCTAGAAGTAGACAGTGAGGAAATAGACTAGAGAAGAACGCATGCTAGTCTTCTCTTATGCAATTATAAAAATCTGCAGAAAGTACTCTGTCCTCATATAATCACTAGCTTCCAGTGAGATCGCCCGTGCTATGCAACATTATGCACTGAATAGCTACATGTATGTGTGCCAGGGAGAACAATCATACTATGCTGATAAAAACTTGTGCAGTGGAGAGGGAGTTGGGGAGTGGTTTTAGAGAAAAAGGTTCTCACGGTAACCATAAATATCTTCTAATACGTATAGGATAGTGACCAAGACGAGGGCTATATGGGAAATATAGACCGAGTAAAAGACCGAGGTCCGTCGAGGTCTTTTACGAGGCCTATATTTCCCATATAGACCGAAGTCGAGGTCAATATCCTATTTATCACGATTCCTTTGCCATAACCCCAAAATTTGAACCTTTAGGAGCTATTTTAACCTTTTTAGTATAGCATTTGTACTATAGTGTACATAGGATGTTGCCTATTTTGGGTACAAGACTGTAAGAACAACAGAGTTCAGCATCTGCAGCACAGTGGCTGGGTGGTATAAGGGGTTGCTTGAGATTCATACTGTTGTGAGTTCGAATCCTGCTTGTTCTCTTTCTTTGTCTTCTTTCTTTCAATTTTTCTTTTTGAAGTGGAGAGAAAAATTCTAAGTCCCTCCAAAGTCGAAAGATTACAATGCCTAAGTGGTCGATACAAGCGGTCGATATAAGCGGTCGATATTGCGGCGATATGGGTAATATAGGACCAGTCAAGGATCACGAGAATTAGTGGAGGTCGATAAAGAAGAGTGATAAAAACCAGTAAACCTATTAATAACATAACTTATCACTCTCTTATTATTGACCCCCACAGAAACTTGTGATCTCTAAGCGGTCAAATATCAGCATATATTGACCGCTTATATTGACCACTTATTATTGACCACTTAGCCCGAGGACTTAGAACTTTTTCCTCAACTTAGAAAAAAATCAGAACTGAAAGAAGAAAAATCTGAAGCCAAATGCTGGGATTTGAACCCAAACTGTCAGATTCTCAGTCAAAGAACTTGGGGAACATACTACAAGAGACAACTGAAAACTTCGGTTTACACAGAAGTAATGTCCAATGTAAACGGCATATGTACATACTATTATACTATTACAATAGTATTCCTTTCTTCCTATAGCAAAGCAAAAACAGTTTTAGGTATGCTATGTCGTGATAAATCTATTATTGCCCTCATAATCGGGGGACCTCGGTCTTTTACTCGTTCTATATTTCATATATTGACCTCTTTAATCGTGCAATAATAGATACATACTCTTCACAACTCTTACTTCATCATATGTAAGCTTGGTCCAGGTGACATCCAGCAAGTAGGGTACACAACCTGCATTCTTGAAGTACACTGCCTGAACGAGAGGAGTTCTCCCATCCTACACAGAAATAATGGCAGCAACACAATGATAGATCACAGCAGATATAAATAGCTTGTAAAGCCTTTGCAAATTGTCCATTTATTGCAGGCACATCAGCATCACTAGTTCATTCCCACAAGGCTTACAACCCAGAGCGCAATTTAATATCCAAACCAGCATCCCAATATTGCAAGTACCAGTACTTGCTGTCGTTTCAGCCTGATATTCCCCAGCAATAGACATACAGCTAGCACAGTAGTCCTCATCGACAAGAAGAGTGCTGTGCTGTAAGGAGAGGCAATGACAGAAAATGTTCAACTTACGTTGTTCTTTACAGCGATCGTGTCGGGCTGGAGATCTAGTAGATACTTGACGACATCTAGCTTTCCATTATAGGCAGCATAATGAACAGGAAGGCCACCGTCCTGTGTACAAGTAACACACATGACCAGACATTCCTATGATTTATCCATCAGAAAAGTACTCATATTGAATATAACGTACAACTCACTATGAAGTGAAGCATGGTCATATACATAACTCTGGTAAGTAATTTGCATTATGCTTTTATAAGTATTCATGGCTAGTTATCATTGTTAAAACGTATTTCCCTGACAAAGGTCTCATGAAAGCCGGTTAGGAAATTCTAGGACTTATTATTTTGTCATTGCTACGCACAATGTGTGCCTCGCTCATTCAGCCTATTGCCATAAAATACTTCATGGAATGTAAATAAATGACCAAAATGATGCAGAGAATGTACCATGTAGCAGTGGTTTGTCCAGGATTTGGCTTAGGGGGTCCCTGTCGGGGGTGGGGTATAGGACATCATGCTACTGTCCCAGTTCAGCCAATTTGAAGAAAAAAAGGCATCATTCCTCACCCTAGTCACTAGTGACACAGTCACACAGCCCGGTCATGTAGATATCCAACAATAGTAATGCAATCACATCCGATGTGTTTCTTACAGGCGTATCGCAGTTGCTACAATCATCAATCATGGTACTTTAGATAGTAAATCCTTGCCTAATTTTTTTGGAGCACACAAGGCTGTTCTCAATCATGTTTTGGCTGAGCACTGAAACCTGGTACTTCCGCATCTGGCCGAATGTCAGTAACTGTTCGCTCCGAACGAGACTGACAACGACTTGATCAGGCGTACCCTTTCCAGTTGAAACAGGAATTGCGTCGTCGCAAGAACGTTTTGCAAAAATCCATCCAGGGCTCTGCTGGCCAAAGCTTGGCCTCTCTGGATGTCACTGAGACTTCGCAGAAAAGTCTTCAAGTCAACCACAATTCGAACCCCTAGGAGATTATCTTCAAAACATTGTTGTACAAAGTTAGTTTCAGAAAGAAGCGCGTGCCGATGAGAAGCTTTGTTTTGTCCCACTAGCGCAGCGCTGCGTTCAGCACATCACAGCACACGATCAAGAGTCTCAACATGCATAGAGCGAGTCCTGGAATCTGTGCACCTGTGTAGATTTACACAGTCAATTGTTTCTTTTACAGTGTAATTGACGCACAGCGTACGTACGTACCGCTTTTGGATGCTAGCCTCCCACCATCTGCAGCCCGTGCAGCAGAGTGGTGTTTTTTTACACCAAGGCAAAATATTTGAGGCAGGGGCGGGTACCCCCAGCGCACTCCCCTAAAAATGACACTGTCTAGTCCGTCATTAATTTTGCCAAAGTTGCACACACTTGGGTTATGCACTCGTGCCCATTAGAGTGCCAAAGATTGCTCGACTCACGTTGTCCTTCGCAGAGACTGTCTCGGGTTGGAGTTCTAGTAAATACTTGACAACTTCCAGATGGCCAGCGAAAGCGGCAATAAGAACAGGAATTAGACCGAGCTGTGTGCAGGTAAAGACAAGTTCAGACATGCATACATTATGTTATCTCTCTGCAGTCTGTATCTTACAAATTATGTATAACCTACTGTGACCAAAGTTTTACATGCATTCAAATGTGCACACCAACAGTCTTCCAACTTGGAAGGTTCTAAGTTTCGGAGGGGGGGGGGGGGGAAATATTGAGAAAGAGGAATGCATTGGCGTGTGTATTCGAGACGTGATGGAACTAAACATCAGATAGTTGAATATCAGTAACACAGCAGTCATCATTGTGCTAATTGTTGCACATTATGACTCATCAATATCAGACCGTTAACTCTACGTACAGTCATATACTACTAGTAGTCAGAGAATGTGCGTTTCTCCTTGCCAGTAGTTGTGCTTTCAGAAAGAAAATTTTAGCTTTCCACACGGAATAGTCCACCCTCATCTATAATACAACGATGAGTCCACAACCGTGACAGGTGACAAAACAATGGGCAGCTCCCAGACCTAAAACTTTCAGATCCCGTAGTGGTGTGAGCCCTGAATCGAAGAGTCATGCCCTTGATTCAAAGAACCTTCACTGTTTTCCAATCGAGGACCGTCCAAAATGCACCAAAAAAGATTACCATGTGGCAGGCCACAGGAATCCGAGCGAGTCGGTATCGAACTGGTGATATTCCCAAGCATTAGACATAGAGTTAGGACAGTGATCCTCATGACCAAGAAGAGTGCTGTGCTGTAAGGAGAGTCAATGGTTAAGATTGTTCAACTTACGTTGTTCTTTACAGAGATCGTGTCTGGTTGGAGATCTAGTAGACACTTGACGACGTCTAGCTTTCCATTCCAGGCAGCACGATGAACAGGAAGGTCACCACCCTGTGTACAAGTAACACACATGACCAGACATTCCTAAGCTTTATCTATCAGAAAAGTACTCATATTGAATATAACGTACAACTCACTATGATGTGAAGCATGGTACAACTCTGGTAAGTCAATTGCATTATTCTTTTATAAGTATTCATGGCTAGTTATCATTGTTGAAACGTATTTACCTGACGAAGGTTTCATGAAAGCCGGTTAGAAAATTCTAGGACTCATTATTAATTTTTGTCATTGCTACGCACAATGTCCGCCTCGCTCATTCTGCCTATTGCCATAAAATACTTCATGGAATGTAAATAAATGACCAGAATGATGCAGAGAATGTACCATGTAGCAGTGGTGTGTCCAGGATTTGGCTTAGGGGGTCCCTAGCTGTTGGGAGTGGGGGTGTATGACATCATGTTACTGTCCCAGTTCAGCCAATTAAAAAAAAATGGTATAATTCCTCACCCAAGTCACTAGTGACACAGTGAAACATGCCGCTCATATAAATATCCAACAATAGTAATGCAATCACATCCGATGGGTTCCTTCCAGGCGTATCTCAGTTGGTTCAATCATCAATAATGTTACTTTTGTTATTACATCCTTCGAGTACATCCTTGGCCAATTTTTTTTTGGGCATACAAGGCTGTTCTCAATCATGTTCCGGCTGGTCACTGAAAACTGGTACTTCCGCATCTTGCCGAATTTCAGTAACTGTTTGGTCCAAACTAGACTTACAACGACTTGATCAGTCGTACTCTTTCCAGTTGGAACAGGAATTGCGCCGTCGCAAGAACGCTTTGCAAAAATCCATCCAGGGCTCTGCTGGCCAAAGCTTGGCCTCTTTCGATGTCGCTGGAACTCCGCAAAAAGTCTTCGAGTCAATTACAATTCGAACCCCGAGGCGGTTATCCTCAAAACGATGTGCAAAGTTAGTTTCAGAAAGAAGCGCTTGCCGATGAGGAGCTTTGTTTTTGTCCCACTAGCGCAGTGCTGAGTTCAGCACATCACAGCACACGATCAAGAGTCTCAACATGCATAGAGCGCGTACTGTAATCTGTGCACCTGTGTAGATTTACACAGTCAATTGTTTCTTTCACAGTGTAATTGACGCACAGCGTACGTACGTACAGCTTTTGGATGCTAGCCTCCCACCATCTGCGGCCCGTGCAGCAGATTGGTCTTTTTTTGACACCTAGGTCAAAATATTTGAGGGAGGGGTGGGTACCCCCAGCGCACTCCCCCAAAAATGACACTGTCTAGTCCGTCATTTGCCAAAGTTGCACACACTTGGGTTATGCACTCATGACCATAAGAGTGCCAAAGATTGCTCGACTCACAATGCACTTCGCAGAGACAGTCTCGGGTTGGAGTTCTAGTAAATACTTGACGACTTCCAGATTCCCAAAATAAGCGGCGTGATGAACAGGAATTCGACCGTCCTGTGTGCAGGTAAACACAAGTTCAGACATTCATACATCATGTTATCTTCCTGCAGTCTGTATCTTGCAAATTATTTATAACCAACTGTGACCAAAGTTTTACATGCCTTCCGTAGTTATCCCACACTGACAATAATATAATTATAAGCATGATATTGATGAGTCACAAAGTGCAACAGTTAGCACAATAATGACAGCTGTGGTACCGACATTCAACCATCACGTCTCAAATGTGCACACCAACAGCCTTCCAACTTGGAAGATTCTAAGTTTCGGGGCAAAAAAGGTGAGAAAGAGGAAAACGTTGGCATGCGTATTCGAGACGTGATGGAACTAAACATCAGATAGTTGAATATCAGTACCACAGGAGTCATCATTGTGCTAATAGTTGCACATTATGACTCATCAATATCAGACCGTTAACTCTAAGTACAGTCATATACTACTAGTAGTCAGAGAATGTGTGTTTCTCTTTGCCAGTAGTTGTGCTTTCAGAAAGAAAATTTTAGCTTTCCGCACGGAATAGTCCACCCTCATCTATGCTACAACGAAGAGTCCACAACCCTGACAAGTGGCAAAATAATGAACAGCTCCCAGACCTAAAACTTTCAGATCCCGTAGTTGTGTGAGCCCTGAATCGAAGAGTCATGCCCTTGATTCAAAGAACCTTCACCGTTTTTCAATCGAGCACCGTCCAAAATGCACCAAAAAAGATGACCATGTGGCAGGCCACAGGAATCCGAGCGAGTCGGTATCGAACTGGTGATATTCCCCAGCAATAGACATAGAGCTAGCACAGTGATCCTCATGACCAAGAAGAGTGCTGTGCTGTAAGGTGAGTCAATGGTACAGATTGTTCAACTTACATTGTTCTTTACAGAGATCGTGTCTGGTTGGAGATCTAGTAGACACTTGACGACGTCTAGCTTTCCATTCCAGGCAGCATGATGAACAGGAAGGTCACCGACCTGTGTACAAGTAACACACATGACCAGACATTCCTAAGCTTTATCAAGAGTACATGAAAACCAGAGTGTGCAGCTCGGATGGGTTGCTGTCACGGCGAAATTCCGTGATTACATCATTTTAGTGATGTAGTGCGTACAAGCAGGATTCAAGCAGGTCTCTTTCTGCACAACTGCAGCTCAGTTGTACGCACTACGCCATTTCCCGCCTCAGATCTGCACGAAAATGATGTAATCACGGAATTTCGCCGTGACAGACACCCATAGCAGAGAAGACCCCAAGCTGCACACTCTGGTTTTCATGTACTCTTGGCTTTATCCATCAGAAAAGTACTCATATTGAATATAACGTACAACTCACTATGAAGTGAAGCATGGTCATTATACACAACTCTGGTAAGTCAATTGCATTATGCTTTTATAAGTATTCATGGCTAGTTATCATTGTTAAAACGTATTTCCCCGACGAAGGTCTCATGAAAGCCCGTTAGGAAATTCTAGGATTCATTATTTTGTCATTGCTACGCACATTGTCCGCCTCGCTCATTCTGCCTATTGCCATAAAATACTTCATAGAATGTAAATAAATGACCAGAATTATGCAGAGAATGTACCATGTAGCAGTGGTGTGTCCAGGATTTGGCTTAGGGGGTCCCTGTCGGGGGTGGGGTGTAGGACATCATGCTACTGTCCCAGTTAAGCCAATTTGGGAAAAAAGGTATTATTCCTCACCCTAGTCACTAGTGACACAGTCACACAGGCCGGTCATATAGATATCCAACAATAGCAATGCAATCACACCCGATGTGTTTCTTACAGGCGTATCTCAGATGTTACAATCATCAATCATGGTACTTTAGATAGTAGTACAAAGTTAGTTTCAGAAAGAAGCGCGTGCCGATGAGAAGCTTTGTTTTTGTCCCACTAGCGCAGTGCTGAGTTCAGCACATCACAGCACACGATCAAGAGTCTGAACATGCATAGAGCGCGTCCTGGAATCTGTGCACCTGTGTAGATTTACACAGTCAATTGTTTCTTTCACAGTGTAATTGACGCACCCCGTACGTACGTACAGCTTTCGGATGCTAGCCTCCCAACATCTGCAGCCCGTGCAGCAGATTGGTGATTTTTTACACCAAGGTCAAAATATTTGAGGGAGAGGCGGGTGCCCCCAGCGCACTCCCCCAAAATGACACTGTCTAGTCTGTAATTTGCCAAAGTTGCACACACTTGGGTTATGCACCCGTGACCATTAGAGTGCCAAAGATTGCTCGACTCACGTTGTTCTTCGCAGAGACAGTCTCGGGTTGGAGTTCTAGTAAATACTTGACGACTTCCAGATGCCCACCGGAAGCGGCGCCATGAACAGGAATTTCACCGGCCTGTGTGCAGGTAAAGACAAGTTCAGACATTCATGTTATCTCTCTGCAGTCTGTATCTTACAAATTATGTATAACCTACTGTGACCAAAGTTTTACATACCTTCCGTAGTTATCCCACACTGACAATAATATAATTATAAGCATGATATTGATGAGTCACAAAGTGCAACAGTTAGCACAATAATGACAGCTGTGGTACCGACATTCAACCATCACGTCTCAAATGTGCACACCAACAGTCTTCCATCTTGGAAGGTTCTAAGTTTCGGGGGAAAGAAAGGTGAGAAAGAGGAATACGTTGGCGTGTGTATTTGAGACGTGATGGAACTAAACCTAAGATAGGTGAATATCAGTGCCACAGCAGTCATCATTGTGCTAATTGCTGCACATTATGACTCATCAATATCAGACCATTAACTCTACGTACAGTCATATACTACTAGTAGTCTGAGAATGTTCATTTCTCCTTGCCAGTAGTTGTGCTTTGAGAAAGAAAATGTTAGCTTTCCGCACGGAATAGTCCACCCTCATCTATGCTACAACGATGAGTCCACAACCGTGACAAGTGACAAAACAATGAACAGCTCCCCGACCTAAACCTTTCAGATCCCGTAGTTGTGTGAGCCCTGAATCGAAGAGTCATGCCCTTGATTCAAAGAACCTTCACTGTTTTCCAATCGAGCACCGTTCAAAATGCACCAAAAAAGATTATCATGTGGCAGGCGACTGGAATCCGAGCGAGTCGGTATCGAACTGGTGATATTCATCAGCAATAGACATAGAGCTAGCACAGTGATCCTCATGACCAAGAAGATTGCTGTGCTGTAAGGAGAGTCAATGGTAGAGATTGTTCAACTTACATTGTTCTTTACAGAGATCGTGTCTGGTTGGAGATCTAGTAGACACTTGACGACGTCTAGCTTTCCATTATAGGCAGCAAGATGAACAGGAAGCTCACCTCTCTGTGTACAAGTAACACACATGACCAGACATTCCTGATCTTTATCCATCAGAAAAGTACGCATATTGAATATAACCTACAACTCACTATGATGTGAAGCATGGTCATATACACAACTCTGGTAAGTCAATTGCATTATGCTTTTATAAGTATTCATGGCTAGTTATCATTGTTGAAACGTATTTCCCTGACAAAGGTCTCATGAAAGCCGGTTAGGAAATTCTAGGACGCATTATTTTGTCATTGTTAAGCACAATGTCCGCCTCGCTCATTCTGCCTATTGCCATAAAATACTTCATGGAATGTAAATAAATGACCAGGATGATGCAGAGAATGTACCATGTAGCTGTGGTTTGTGCTTTCAGAAAGAAAATTTTAGCTTTCCGCACGGAATAGTGCACCATCATCTATACTACAACGATTAGTCCACAACCGTGACAAGTGACAAAACAATGAACAGCTCCCATACCTAAAACTTTCAGATCCCGTAGTGGTGTGAGCCCTGAATCGAAGAGTCATGCCCTTGATTCAAAGAACCTTAACTGTTTTCCAATCGAGCACCGTACAAAATACACCAAAAAAGATTACCATGTGGCAGGCCCCAGGAATCCGAGCGAGTCGGTATTGATCTGGTGATATTCCCCAGCAATATACATAGAGCTTGCACAGTGATCCTCATGACCAAGAAGAGTGCTGTGCTGTAAGGAGAGTCAATGGTAGAGATTGTTTAACTTACATTGTTCTTTACAGAGATCGTGTCTGGTTGGAGATCTAGTAGACACTTGACGACGTCTTGCTTTCCACTCCAGGCAGCACGATTAACAGGAAGGTCACCGTCCTGTGTACAAGTAGCACACATGACCAGACATTCCTGATCTTTATCCATCAGAAAAGTACTCATATTGAATATAACGTACAACTCACTATGAAGTGAAGCATCGTCATATACACAACTCTGGTAAGTCAATTGCATTATGCTTTTATAAGTATTCATGGCTAGTTATCATTGTTGAAACGTATTTCCCTGACGAAGGTTTCATGAAAGCCGGTAAGGAATTTCTAGGACGCATTATTTTGTCATTGCTACGCACAATGTCCGCCTCGCTTATTCTGCCTATTGCCATAAAATACTTCATGGAATGTAAATAAATGACCAGAATGATGCAGAGAATGTACCATGTAGCAGTGGTGTGTCCAGGAACAGTCTTCCAACTTGGAAGGTTCTAAGTTTCGGAGGGGGGGGGGGGAAATATTGAGAAAGAGGAATGCATTGGCGTGTGTATTCGAGACGTGATGGAACTAAACATCAGATAGTTGAATATCAGTAACACAGCAGTCATCATTGTGCTAATTGTTGCACATTATGACTCATCAATATCATACCGTTAACTCTACGTACAGTCATATACTACTAGTAGTCAGAGAATGTGTGTTTCTCCTTGCCAGTAGTTGTGCTTTCAGAAAGAAAATTTTAGCTTTCCGCACGGAATAGTCCACCCTCATCTATACTACAACGATGAGTCCACAACCGTGACAAGTGACAAAACAATGAACAGCTCCCATACCTAAAACTTTCAGATCCCGTAGTGGTGTGAACCCTGAATAAAAGAGTCATGCCCTTGATTCAAAGAACCTTCATTGTTTTCCAATCGAGCACCGTCCAAAATGCACCAAAAAAGATTACCATAATGGCAGGCGACTGGAATCCGAGCGAGTCGGTATCGATCTGGTGATATTCCCCAGCAATAGACATAGAGCTTGCACAATGATCCTCATGACCAAGAAGAGTGCTGTGCTGTAAGGAGAGTCAATGGTAAGGATTGCTTAACTTACGTTGTCCTTTACAGAGATCGTGTCTGGTTGGAGATCTAGTAGATACTTGACGACGTCTAGCTTTCCATTATAGGCAGCATAATGAACAGGAAGGCCACCGTCCTGTGTACAAGTAACACACATGACCAGACATTCCTATGATTTATCCATTAGAAAAGTACTCATATTGAATATAACGTATAACTCACTATGAAGTGAAGCATGGTCATATACACAACTCTGGTAAGTCAATTGCATTATGCTTTTATAAGTATTCATGGCTAGTTATCATTGTTGAAACGTATTTCCCTGACGAAGGTCTCATGAAAGCCGGTTAGAAAATTCTAGGACTTAGTATTTTGTCATTGCTACGCACAATGTCTGCCTCGCTCATTCTGCCTATTGCCATAAAATACTTCATGGAATGTAAATGAATGACCAGAATCATGCAGAGAATGTACCATGTAGCAGTGGTTTTTCCAGGATTTGGCTTAGGGGGTCCCTGTCGGGGGTGGGGTGTAGGACATCATGCTACTGTCCCAGTTAAGCCAATTTGGGAAAAAAAGGTATCATTCCTCACCCTAGTCACTAGTGACACAGTCACACAGGCCGGTCATATAGATATCCAACAATAGCAATGCAATCACACCCGATGTGTTTCTTACAGGCGTATCTCAGATGTTACAATCATCAATCATGGTACTTTAGATAGTAGTACAAAGTTAGTTTCAGAAAGAAGCGCGTGCCGATGAGAAGCTTTGTTTTTGTCCCACTAGCGCAGCGCTGCGTTCAGCACATCACAGCACACGATCAAGAGTCTGAACATGCATAGAGCGCGTCCTGGAATCTGTGCACCTGTGTAGATTTACACAGTCAATTGTTTCTTTCACAGTGTAATTGACGCACCACGTACGTACGTACAGCTTTTGGATGCTAGCCTCCCAACATCTGCAGCCCGTGCAGCAGATTGGTGATTTTCTACACCAAGGTCAAAATATTTGAGGGAGGGGCGGGTGCCCCCAGCGCACTCCCCCAAAATGACACTGTCTAGTCGGTAATTTGCCAAAGTTGCACACACTTGGGTTATGCACCCGTGACCATTAGAGTGCCAAAGATTGCTCGACTCACGTTGTTCTTCGCAGAGACAGTCTCGGGTTGGAGTTCTAGTAAATACTTGACGACTTCCAGATGCCCACCGCAAGCGGCGAGATGAACAGGAATTTCACCGGCCTGTGTGCAGGTAAAGACAAGTTCAGACATTCATGTTATCTCTCTGCAGTCTGTATCTTACAAATTATGTATAACCTACTGTGACCAAAGTTTTACATGCCTTCCGTAGTTATCCCACACTGACAATAAAATAATTATAAGCATGATATTGATGAGTCACAAAGTGCAACAGTAAGCACAATAATGACAGCTGTGGTACCGACATTCAACCATCACGTCTCAAATGTGCATACCAACAGTCTTCCAACTTGGAAGGTTCTAAGTTTCGGGGGGGGGGGGGGAATGGTGAGAAAGAGGAATAAATTGGCGTGTGGATTCGAGACGTGATGGAACTAAACATCAGATAGTTTAATATCAGTACCACAGGAGTCATCATTGTGCTAATTGTTGAACATTATGACTCATCAATATCATACCGTTAACTCTACGTACAGTCATATACTACTAGTAGTCAGAGAATGTGCGTTTCTCCTTGCCAGTAGTTGTGCTTTCAGAAAGAAAATTTTAGCTTTCCGCAAGGAATAGTCCACCATCATCTATACTACAACGATTAGTCCACAACCGTGACAAGTGACAAAACAATGAACAGCTCCCATACCTAAATCTTTCAGATCCCGTAGTGGTGTGAGCCCTGAATCGAAGAGTCATGCCCTTGATTCAAAGAACCTTAACTGTTTTCCAATCGAGCACCGTCCAAAATGCACCAAAAAAGATTACCATGTGGCAGGCCACAGGAATCCGAGCGAGTCGGTATCGATCTGGTGATATTCCCCAGCAATAGACATAGAGCTAGCACAGTGATCCTCATGACCAAGAAGAGTGCTGTGCTGTAAGGAGAGTCAATGGTAGAGATTGTTTAACTTACATTGTTCTTTACAGAGATCGTGTCTGGTTGGAGATCTAGTAGACACTTGACGACGTCTTGCTTTCCACTCCAGGCAGCACGATTAACAGGAAGGTCACCGTCCTGTGTACAAGTAACACACATGACCAGACATTCCTGATCTTTATCCATCAGAAAAGTACTCATATTGAATATAACGTACAACTCACTATGAAGTGAAGCATCGTCATATACACAACTCTGGTAAGTCAGTTGCATTATGCTTTTATAAGTATTCATGGCTAGTTATCATTGTTGAAACGTATTTCCCTGACAAAGGTCTCATGAAAGCCGGTTAGGAATTTCTAGGACGCATTATTTTGTCATTGCTACGCACAATGTCCGCCTCGCTCATTCTGCCTATTGCCATAAAATACTTCATGGAATGTAAATAAATGACCAGAATGATGCAGAGAATGTACCATGCAGCAGTGGTTTGTCCAGGATTTGGCTTAGGGTCCCTGTCGGGGGTGGGGTGTAGGACATCATGCTACTGTCCCAGTTCAGCCAATTGGGGAAAAAAGGTATTATTCCTCACCCTAGTCACTAGTGACACAGTCACACAGCCCGGTCATATAGACATCCAACAATAGTAATCGATTCACACCCGATGTGTTTCTAACAGGCTTATCTCAGTTCTTACAATCATCAATCATGCTACTTTAGTTAGTATATCCTTGCCTAATTTTTTTGGAGCATACAAGGCTGTTCTCAATCATGTTTTGGCTGAGCACTGAAACCTGGTCTTTCCGCATCTGGCCGAATGTCAGTAACTGTTCGCTTCGAACTAGACTTACAACGACTTGATCAGGCGTACTCTTTCCAGTTGAAACAGGAATTGCGCCGTCGCAAGAACGCTTTGCAAAAATCCATCCAGGGCTCTGCTAGCCAAAGCTTGGCCTCTCTGGATGTCGCTGAGACTTCGCAGAAAAGTCTTCGAGTCAACCACAATTCGAACCCCTAGGCGATTATCCTCAAAACATTGTTGTACAAAGTTAGTTTCAGAAAGAAGCGCGTGCCGATGAGAAGCTTTGTTTTTGTCGCACTAGCGCAGCGCTGCGTTCAGCACATCACAGCACACAATCTAAAGTCTCAACATGCATAGAGCGCGTCCTGGAATCTGTGCACCTGTGTAGATTTACACAGTAAATTGTTTCTTTCACAGTGTAATTGACGCACCCCGTACGTACGTACAGCTTTTGGATGCTAGCCTCCCAACATCTGCAGCCCGTGCAGCAGATTGGTGATTTTTTACACCAAGGTCAAAATATTTGAGGGAGAGGCGGGTGCCCCCAGCGCACTCCCCCAAAATGACACTGTCTAGTCTGTAATTTGCCAAAGTTGCACACACTTGGGTTATGCACCCGTGACCATTAGAGTGCCAAAGATTGCTCGACTCACGTTGTTCTTCGCAGAGACAGTCTCGGGTTGGAGTTCTAGTAAATACTTGACGACTTCCAGATGCCCACCGAAAGCGGCGCAATGAACAGGAATTTCACCGGCCTGTGTGCAGGTAAAGACAAGTTCAGACATTCATGTGATCTATCTGCAGTCTGTATCTTACAAATTATGTATAACCTACTGTGACCAAAGTTTTACATGCCTTCCGTAGTTATCCCACACTGACAATAATATAATTATAAGCATGATATTGATGAGTCACAAAGTGCAACAGTTAGCACAATAATGACAGCTGTGGTACCGACATTCAACCATCACGTCTCAAATGTGCATACCAACAGCCTTCCAACTTGGAAGGTTCTAAGTTTCGGGGGAAAGAAAGGTGAGAAAGAGGAATACGTTGGCGTGTGTATTTGAGACGTGATGGAACTAAACCTAAGATAGGTGAATATCAGTGCCACAGCAGTCATCATTGTGCTAATTGCTGCACATTATGACTCATCAATATCAGACCATTAACTCTACGTACAGTCATATACTACTAGTAGTCTGAGAATGTTCGTTTCTCCTTGCCAGTAGTTGTGCTTTGAGAAAGAAAATGTTAGCTTTCCGCACGGAATAGTCCACCCTCATCTATGCTACAACGATGAGTCCACAACCGTGACAAGTGACAAAACAATGAACAGCTCCCCGACCTAAACCTTTCAGATCCCGTAGTTGTGTGAGCCCTGAATCGAAGAGTCATGCCCTTGATTCAAAGAACCTTCACTGTTTTCCAATCGAGCACCGTTCAAAATGCACCAAAAAAGATTATCATGTGGCAGGCGACTGGAATCCGAGCGAGTCGGTATCGAACTGGTGATATTCATCAGCAATAGACATAGAGCTAGCACAGTGATCCTCATGACCAAGAAGATTGCTGTGCTGTAAGGAGAGTCAATGGTAGAGATTGTTCAACTTACATTGTTCTTTACAGAGATCGTGTCTGGTTGGAGATCTAGTAGACACTTGACGACGTCTAGCTTTCCATTATAGGCAGCAAGATGAACAGGAAGCTCACCTCTCTGTGTACAAGTAACACACATGACCAGACATTCCTGATCTTTATCCATCAGAAAAGTACTCATATTGAATATAACCTACAACTCACTATGATGTGAAGCATGGTCATATACACAACTCTGGTAAGTCAATTGCATTATGCTTTTATAAGTATTCATGGCTAGTTATCATTGTTGAAACGTATTTCCCTGACAAAGGTCTCATGAAAGCCGGTTAGGAAATTCTAGGACGCATTATTTTGTCATTGTTAAGCACAATGTCCGCCTCGCTCATTCTGCCTATTGCCATAAAATACTTCATGGAATGTAAATAAATGACCAGGATGATGCAGAGAATGTACCATGTAGCTCTGGTTTGTCCAGGATTTGGCTTAGGGGGTCCCTGTCGGGGGTGGGGTGTAGGACATCATGCTACTGTCCCAGTTCAGCCAATTTGGGAAAAAAAGGTATCATTCCTCACCCTAGTCACTAGTGACACAGTCACACAGGCCGGTCATGTAGATATCCAACAATAGTAATGCAATCACATCCGATGTGTTTTTTACAGGCGTTTCTCAAGTGTTACAATCATCAATCATGGTACTTTAGTTAGTAAATCCTTGCAAATTTTTTTGGAGCATACAAGGCTGTTCTCAATCATGTTTTGGCTGAGCACTGAAACCTGGTACTTCCGCATCTGGCCGAATGTCAGTAACTGTTCGCTCCGAACTAGACTTACGACTTGATCAGGCGTACTCTTTCCAGTTGAAACAGGAATTGCGCCGTCGCAAGAACGCTTTGCAAAAATCCATCCAGGGATCTGCTAACTAGAGCTTGGCCTCTCTGGATGTCGCTGAGACTTCGCAGAAAAGTCTTCGAGTCAACCACAATTCGAACATCTAGGCGATTATCCTCAAAACATTGTTGTACAAAGTTAGTTTCAGAAAGAAGCGCGCCGAGGAGAAGCTTTGTTTTGTCCGCCTAGCGCAGCGCTGCGTTCAGCACATCACAGCACACGATCAAAAGTCTCAACATGCATACAGCGTGTCCTGGAATATGTGCACCTGTGTAGATTTACACAGTCAATTGTTTCTTTCACAGTGTAATTGACGCACAGCGTACGTACGTACAGCTTTTGGATGCTAGCCTCCCACCATCTGCAGACCGTGCAGCAGATTGGGTTTTTTTTGACATCCAGGTCAAAATAATTGTGGGAGGGGCGGGTGCCCCCAGCGCACTCCCCTAAAAATGACACTGTCTAGTCCGTCATTTGCCAAAGTTGCGCACACTTGGGTTATGCACTCGTGACCATTACAGTGCCAAAGATTGCTCGACTCACTTTGTCCTTCGCAGAGACAGTCTCGGGGTGGAGTTCCAGTAGATATTTGACGACTTCCAGAGACCCAGCGTAAGCGGCGTCATGAACAGGAATTCGACCGAGCTGTGTGCAGGTAAAGACAAGTTCAGACATGCAAACATTATGTTATCTCTCTGCAGTCTGTATCTTACAAATTATGTACAACCTACTGTGACCAAAGTTTTACATGCCTTCCGTAGTTATCCCACACTGACAATAATATAATTATAAGCATGATATTGATGAGTCACAAAGTGCAACAGTTAGCACAATAATGACAGCTGTGGTACCGACATTCAAGAATTGAGAATAACCTATTTGTACGTCTAAGTGCGTGGCTAGTTAAAAAGCACACAACTCCTTTTGAATTGCAGTGTACATGCCATCTATCACACCACATGATCTCATTGGTATCAGACTAGGTACGCTCAAAACTGACAGGACTGCTAGAGTAGGAATCATGTCACAAACTGAATTGCTACTGAGTAACTCCAACGTGTCGTTCAATGCAGGACATGCATCTGCGCTATCCACACTAGGAAATTTTAGAGCCGAACGTAAATTCAGCATGGGCAAAAATTGAAAACGAGAGAGAGAGAGAGAGAGAGAGAGAGAGAGAGAGAGAGAGAGAGAGAGAGAGAGAGATAGAGAGAGAGAGAGAGAGAGAGAGAGAGAGAGAGAGAGAGAGAGAGAGAGAGAGAGAGAGAGAGAGAGAGAGAGAGAGAGAGAGAGAGAGGAGGGAGGGAGGGAAGGAGGGAGGGAGGGAAGGAGGGAGGGAGGGAGAGAGACAGGCAGGCAGGCAGGCAGGCAGGGAGGGAGGGAGGGAGGGAGAGGGAGAGAGAGAGAGAGAGAGAGAAATACATCACGGCACAAGTGAGAATAGCTGGGAAGTCAAAAAGTCAAAAACAGCATGAACATATACTAATAATACTAACACATCAAACTTATCAAGAGGAAAGATTATTCCTAGCACTCACATGTGGACCAACACCAAACAACTTTTAGGGACAAAATATTTTCCTTCTGAACACACAAATAAGGGCCAATGCATCCTACTAGATATAAGTTATCTTAGGGTTGATAACAGTATAGTGTTAGGCTAGACAGTCACCAGTCAAATATCCACTGATTACCTCCATCCATCATTACAGAACGATGATCATGCATTCAGCAAGAAATGGTCTTTTCCTATGATCAGTTTTACCCATGCTACTGACAACACAGTGTCTTCTACATGTAGTCTACAAGTAATTTCAACATGGGTTTTTTTAAGTGGGCTCGTCCCTATCATTGACATTGTGCAAGAATCCATAGTTATCAATATTCGTAATAATTATACTTTTGAGGTTCCGACTTCAGATAGAAGTCAACGTGGTTCATCTGCATTAACTCTGTTGCAGTACAGCCAAAGTCAGGTGTCTTTGATTAGAACACGAGCCAAAATCTTGAGTCATTCTTCAATGTACAGACAGAGTGGTGTGCAACTTACCCAACCAGTCTCGTCCACGTTGGCTTTACACTTGACAAGGTACTTGGCTATATCGATGTAACCCTGTATACATGCTCTATGTAGTGGAGTGTATCTCCATTCATCCTAGTAAGAACAACATAGGTAGTGTAGGCATGTGTACACCCACACACACCACACATGTACAGACTCCCAGCACAACAAAACGCACAAGTACGCATACACACAAACGAACACACGTGCACACACGTGCACACACACACACACACGTGCACACACACACACACACGTGCACACACACATTTACATACACACATCACAATTTTAATTTACACAGCAAAAACTCACGTACACTGATGCACACACTTGCACACATATATACACACACATACATACACACACACTACTTGGTCCGTTTCATCGCAATTGTCGCTTATCTCCCACGCACCTTTTGACAGGTAAAACCCAGTCCGATCTCGATATCTAACTCACATTCGTTTGGGAGGTTGTGATGGCAAGATCAAAGGAGATCAGAAAGAAAAAACCATCGCGACTAGCGCCAGTGGCATCGCGATTCATACAATTTTGATGGGAAAGTGGGAAACTTTTCGCTGCAGTGAATGCACTGCAGTGAATGCACACATTCACTGCAGCGAAAAGCCAAGCGCAGCTCAAAGACCGGAACTGTAGCAGGGGAAATCGACATCCTGACCTGGAGAGCGTGACGGTCACGGCCAGGCCAGCCAGCTCAGTTGTTTGAACTGCAATGTTTGAACTGCAATGACCTGGTATTCTTTGCAAGCCTGCAAACTGATGGCGAGATGGTGGCAAAGAAGACAGAGAGTCATTGTCCGACCTGGCAGCGGCAGTACAAGAGTCGCGGTCAGAGCGTATGACAGCTGTCTGGAGAGGGATGTGTGCCTGATTCAAAAACATTGTTGAACACACAGTACTGAAGTGACAGACGGGTCACGCTGCCCACGTTCCTCCAAGTGCCAAAGTGACAGCCGCGACTGTTCCTTTCCCATCGCTGCTTTACGCCAAGCGGAGAAAACAAGAGAATAACTCTACGCCAGCAGCTATACACACCAGTGAATGTCAGCTCAAGTGGCATCAGCTCGAGTGATACAGAGCCAGAGTCGGATAAACTAAAGCGTGAGTGCAAGAAGGCGCTCCGTCGCTGTTTTCTTTTGTACATTTTTTGTAACCTTGCTTCCTTTCTTCGACTTGCTTCATCAGATTCCATCGCTGAATTTATTTCTTGTGGCGGACAGGAATCCTGTAACATGCTTCTTCACTATGCGTATTGGAAATTTTACAGAGCGGTAAAAAAACTCCTGTTCTTAGTTGCGATAGACAAGCGACAATTGCGATGAAACGGACCAAGTACACACACACACACACACACACACACACACACACACACATACACACACACACAAACCATTTGACCATAATCATAACGCCCACCGCCGGATGCGATGATAGCGATGCTACAGCAAAAGCTACAGCAACTTGTGCTGGGATTGCACCATTCAACAGCTTGCAAGGCTGAAGAATCAACCGCCACTATTCAGCCTGGTCTACATCACACAGCTATGAAGTGGCATTTTCTGGCCAGCGAATCCCTACTTTTTGGTCTTTTTAATTTTTTTTCCCGCACACATATCACACCACATGCTCCGGCATGCACTGGCTGTTGGTAACCACCCAGGAGAATGAAAGAAAAGTCAGGAGGAGTTTGAGAAAGAGAAGAAAGATGTATGTGACCATAATCATCGGGAATCGAATCCGCAACATATCGATTCGAAATCACTGCACACGCCACTGCACCATATGGGACACACACACACGCACACACACACACACACACCCACAAACATACACACACACACACACACACACACACATGCACACACATATATAATAATTATATATACTTCCTCCGTTAACAAAAACTTCGTGATGAATTTTTGAGGGACTGGTCTGCGCACAATCTGCCGTGAAATGAGTCGCGATCACTTTCTCGGCCTTCCCTGGCATGGCATGAAAAAGGTACGATGCAAGGAAATCGAACTTTTACAACAAGCCGAGCGGAATCGATGGTTGCGCTGAGGCAACATAGGTGATGACAGTCATGGCGAGCGAAACTGAAATATCACTTCTCCAAGGGGATAATGTGCTGCTTGGCCTCTCTACTACTCTAGCACTGAGTTTGAGAGTGATACAGAGCGATGGAATGGAGCAGCGAGCGCACACAATGAGCGAGTGAACAAGGAGCTGCTCCGATCACACGGCGCATTAAAATAATTCTGAATCCAAGTAAATTCTTGTTCAACCTGTGCAAAGCCCAGATTCGAATGCTGATGACCATGCATTATTTCAGAAGTCTGCAGTCCGACGCGAGTCTCGTCGACTTGATTTGCTAGCCGCTGCCGTTCAGTGCTGGTAGGAGTATTCAACAGAGAAAGTGGAATCAGTTTTGCTGTGCCTTTACTCCTTGTTTCGAGGAGTTCTGGAGAGCGGAGATGAAACCAGGGAGTCGTAAATATTTTACGACTCCCTGGTGGAAACAAGTAATAACCGCGGCGGATCACGCAGCTTGAAAGCCAACTTACTTGAATGACGGCGATATCAAGTTCAGCAAAGTGTGATCAAAGAAGCCGACGCAAGGCTGAAACGAGCTGAACAACGACGCGAGAGATGACGATTCGCGTACACCAGATGACGACAGCGACGCAGGGTCAAAAATTAGTAGGGGTGTCAACGAGTAGTAGGGTACCCGTGCTACCCGTAATTTGATACGGTAGTCGGGTAGCAATTTACTCCTGAGAACCCGATCGGGTTGTTGGAGTATGGTGTTTTTGCGACGGTGCATGTAACCAGCACAGATGCGTGCTTGCTGTACACTTTCTATGTAACGCAAGTGCACACTCACACTACAAACTGTGTAAAAAAATACCTGATATGGTACCTATGCTACCCGGATAAAAATACCCGAAACCGTTACCCGACCAAATTCCTACCCGTTGCAGCCCTAAAAATGAGTCGAGCGAAAGTGACGCAAACGGAACTCTCTGTTCATTCTGCCAACAAGTTCTCTTGTAAGGACGCTGTACATACGCTGAACTACCTTCATTCAGAAATTTGCAGTCGATACAAACTGTTCTTGACATTTTCTAAGCGTTTTCATATCCATCCAAAATTCCAAATCCATCACGAAGGTTTTGTTAACGGAGAAAGTATGAATATATAGTATTACCTGAAGCCGAAGTGAGTATGGGCTGATATTCACTAGTATACAAACCGAGATTCCCCAGGCAATTTTAAAAGTACAATGTTAAAGGAGAAGTAATCGATTTTTCGAATAGGGTCCAGAAGAAAGACAAGTTGACATCGGTTCGAATGGCATATCTATCGCTTCCATACGATAAGCCAATTTTGCCAAATGGCCAATTGTATGCTCGCGTTGCAATAACAACCAGTGCAGTGATGACGTATGAAACCTAGGCTTAGCTCCACCACAGAGAAGGTCGATCACTGCAGAATTTGGTCATTTTCAATGGGTTCATTGTATTCACGAAGTGAAAGAAGGGTTGTGTTAAATGCTGTTAGTGCAGTGAACTGTTTGTTAGTAGTCCTCTCGGTTGTGTACTGGGACCTGACACCGACAGGAGAAAGCTGGACTGCTGAGACATCAGCAGACAAGAGAAAATAGTGACGAATAACATGCTGAGATCTTGGTTGGGACAAATCAGACGTTCAGCCTTTCCCCCAACCAACTACCATGCCTTTTGCTCTTTCCACTTCCTGAAGATGGATGTGATTCTTCCAGGCGAATCTCCCATCTCTCGTAACATCTTCTGAAGCCAGGTGAGACGACGGGTGGTGGAGATTGACAAATAAAATAATGTCGTAGTTTTGAAATTTTGCCGAAAATGTCTCAGGAGAGATGGCGAATACCGAGCATCTTCTCCTAGAGGAAACATTTCCTAGGCACAGTCAGCCCAGGGAAATGCAGGAGAAGGCCGATAAACAGTTCGCAGCACTAACAGCATTGAACATAGCACTTCTTTTACATCGTGAATACAACTAGGGTTTACCGGGTGTTAGCGGCCGTCATGAGTTCCCTTCGGAAACGGGCACGATAATTAACTTTTTTAAATGTTTACAATTGAAAATGACTAAATTCTGCAGTGATCGACCTTGTCTGTGGTGGAGCTAAGCCTTTCATATGTCATCACAGCGCTGGTCGATATGGGAACTAGCCCTTTCCCAAAGGTGCTCGCCCTTTTTTTCCTTTTTGGAAAAGCCCGTTTCCTTCGCCCTTTATTGCGTTTTTGGTGAATATTGCCTTTTTTTAGCTTTTTTAGCTGAAAAGGTGGTAAAATCTGTTTGCTCATGCATGCGATCCCAGTTTCTGAGTGCTCGATGGGCCTTGGAAGTTGGCACGCCGCTTTTTGGGGGGCAACAAGTTGGTGAAGCTTGTACCCCGTTGTACACAATGCTGTAAAAAGTGGGTTTTTGAACTTTACTTCCTGTTTTGGCTTTCGTGGACCCATAACTGGAAGAGTGCGTAATCATTCCTCAGGTTGGGTTCATATCTGAACATGTATCATGGCTATGCTTCGCTGAAAAAGAGCACTTTTTGCCTGCTTTTACTGAAAAAAGAGCACTTTTTCAGCATAATATTATTTTGAGGGACGCGAAAAGCACTAAGTGTGAATTAAAAGAGCACATTTTGGAAAGGGCTAATGGCAACGTGAGCATACAATTGGCGATTTGGCAAGTTTGGCTTATCGTATGGAAGCGATAGATATGCCATTCGAACCGATATCAAATTGTCTTTCTCCTGTACCCTACTTGAAAAATCGATGCACTTCCTCTTTAAAATGATACCCATGTAAACACCTGGATAGTCGCATTTAAGGGCAGTCAGTGTACAGAGCAGCAGTGTGTTTGGCAACTGGGACAGTGTGAGGAATGAATACCCAGCACTCATACACACACACACACACACACACACACACACACACACACACACACACACACACACACACACACACACATACAGACCTACATCATAGAGATACAACTGGTTGATCACAGTTTCTCCGCAACAGTCTGCAAGGATGCAGGCACACTCCAGCCAGCCGTTATTGCAGGCACAGAATAGCAACCGACCCTGGTATGCAGGAATGGTATGAACACAAAGTCAAGCAACGCGCGCACACACAAACACACACATACACACACACACACATACATGCACACGCACACACACACACACACACACACATGCACACACACACACATGCAAATACACACACACACACACACACAAATACACACACACACACACACACACACACACACACACACTCACACACGCAAATACACACACCCATGTGTATTCAAACAGTGATGTACATAACATACACGTCCTAGTTTTTTCTCACAGCCAGCAATTTCTATATCATTCTTTTCCGTCGACAGAGTGACCTGGATCGTCAGCTCAGATTCTGCTCCTGACAATGACTCTGGCTCCTTCCGAAGTGGTGTGTCTTTTGCGGCAGCAAAGCTATAACAGTTAGAGGCAGTAGTAGTGTGTTTGTGTATGTGCACTTGTGTGTGTGTGTGTGTGTGTGTGTGTGTGTGTGTATGTGTGTGTATGTGTGTGTGTGTGTGTGGATGTGTGTGTGTCTGTATGTATGTGTTTGCATGCATTCGTGTGTGCGTGTGTGCTAGAGAGTGTTGTGTCAGTTGCCAACGGGCTCGGCTGCTTGAAGGTGTAAGGTTGTATCTGCCACTTGTGTTGGTTTCAGGGTTCACATACTTTCTATTTGAAGTATACATACCTGTTGACCATGGACTGCTACTGGCTAGATTGACTTTTGTGTTATCATGGTGCTAGTGAAGCTTATAAAATGTATCAGATCCACTCTGATTTAGCCACCCACACTAGTACAGGTAGATTCCCTTTAATTCGAACCTTAAATTGCCAGGCCCCAACTTCGAATTATCAGGAACTTCCAATTATTCAAATGCAGCCCAATGCACTGATTATGTATGTCAAAATGCTCGAAATCGTGTGCTGATAATTTTCGCACATTTTGTTCGCATCAACGAAACATAGGTGGTCATGTACAATAGACCAGGCCGTTTCATAATAAACACTGGATCGACACAAAGTCATTTGACTTGATATCTTGATCTTAGTCGTCTTCAATCAAATCTTTGCACTTTGCCTCGCACCGGCTCGAATCAAATTTCGAGAGAAGGTGGGTTTCTTGAACGCTACTGTCGATCCTGGAGCGGACCAGGGATCGATTTTTGAGCTACTCTTGGCTAGAGAAGGAGAAAAGAATGAACTTCTAATTACAATTATAGCAACTCCATCTCACTTCGAAATGAGCGTTCGAAGAGCATAGTCACTGTACTGTAAACCGCTCTTCTGTACGAAGGCAGAGTTCGAATTATCCAATCGGTGCACATTTTGTACTTCGAATTATGCATTCGAATTCGACTTGAAGTGACTTGCAGGAGATCTGTACAACGAAAAAGTTCGAATTACACGGAATGTTTGAATTATACCGTATTCGAATTAGAGGGAGTCTACCTGTAGCAAGTATTACCTTTACTGGGAGCAGGGGTAACTGCAGTTGGATCCCGGGACGGATACCCCAGGACCGGCGGAAGGAGGTTTTGACTGGTCCCGCCATACCCTAGCCTTTCATACAGTGTGTGTTTGTGTATATTGTAATGCAGGGTATTCACATGACCTACTCAACAATTATCACACCCTCGGTCAGGGGCCAAGCAGTTGGTCCGGCCATGGCCTGACCAACCGGACCGGTTCCGCCGGGCCTGTACCCTGATGCCGTCAATCCTTTTTCTGCACCTTGTCCACGCCCACTTAGTAAGGTGTGGCGAGCCCATAAGTGGGATCATTTTCAAGTCCACCCATAGTTTGGGTATTTCAGGGGTTTCGGCCGTTGGGCGGTTCAATAGCCAATTGAGTCATCTTTCCAAGATTCCGTTTAAATCTCTCTCCCCTCTTCGAGGGAGACTCGCGTAACCAGTCATGGCAGTGAGCAAGTACACAGTGCAGTACAGTACAGTTCCGTATGTGTGTATGTGTATGTGTGCGTGTGCGCGCATGGTGTGTTTGTACTTGGTCCGTTTCATCACAATTGTCGCTTATCTATCGCCACTAAGAACAGGAGTTTTTCCTACCACTCTGTGAAATTATAAGCATAGTGAAGAGGAATGATACATGAATACTCTCCGCCACAAGAGAACAATTTCGGCAATGGAATCTGATGGAGCAATCTCCCAATTGAAAGCGAGTTAGATATCGCGATTGGACTTGGTTTTACCTGTCGGGGGAGATAAACAACAATTGCGATGAAACAGACCAAGTATGTGGATGTGTGCATACTGCATACCAATAATGTCTCTTCCTCTCCAATGTCGTTGGTACATGTGAGCTCCTCCACACCTTCCTTCAAAGTACCGTCCTCCTGAAGGATTTCCTTTTTCAACTCCTGATGATCGTTCCTCTTTACAAGGCTGAGCAGATACTCTGCCTTGTTGAGAGTCTCCGTAGCCATGGTTACACCTGTAGTACACCGGACAAAATGAGAGAAATTCCAGTCAAAGTTATTAATTAACAAACACGTTATAATACACAATGATTTGTCAAGCTGATAAAGACAAAAAGCAATAAATGAGTTGAGTTACATGTGCCCATCTGACCTTCGTATCATCTACATACGCCTGGTCCACACAATCGGATGACATCATTTACATTCAGTACACTATAATTATTATTACGTGCATCAGTACACGTTGATTACATACATCAGTACAATGTATTGACTGGTGTACTCTACTGTCACCGGGTTAGAGTACAAACTTTCTTTTCGGTGTAATTTTACACTACAATTTTCATTCATTACTGACTGCGCTTCTTTACATGCAGTGTTGCTCAATAAAATCCGGTGGTGTGGGTCAAATTCGTGCATTGCACTGTTGTGCCTTACACCATTTCGCAGCCTAGTGTTTGCAGGTTAAGGCAGGATTCACAGAAGCTTTTTTTGCGATGCGACACACGATGCGACGTGATCTGCGAACTCGCGAAATACCATTCACAGAAGAAGCCAGCGATGCGACAACGCCTTGCTGATTTGGCGCGAAGTTCACTGCAGGTGGGTATGTCACCATGGTATTCGCGTGGTTTCCTAAAATCGAGCTATGTCGTTGCTGTGTCATCATTTATGTGCCATGCGCTACTTGATGTACCAGCCTGCTATGCCGGATACCGCCAGCCATGCTTCAACCAGGCGCCAGGCGCGAACTGATGGTGGTGGTGGTGAGAAGGAGAGCTCTGTGCCAGAACTTTGCAGCCTAGAGAGTGTGTGTGTGCAGGCGTGCGTTTACCGCCATATTGCCAGGTGTGTCTTTACCACCATATTTATCAACCATAAGTACAGCTGCAGTGGCGTCTTCAATTTCATTCTCCCGAGTCAAGCTCCGTATGAAGACATCCAAGAAGAAGATTGCCTGATGAGTTCAGCGGGGACGAAACGTACGTCGCACTCGAGCTATGTCGTTGCTGTGTCATCATCTATGTGCCATGCGCTACTTGATGTACCAGCCTGCTATGCCGAATACCGCCAGCCATGCATCGACCAGGCGCCAGGCGCGAACCGATGGTGGTGGTGGTGAGAAGGAGAGCTCTGTGCCAGAACTTTGCAGCCTAGAGAGTGTGTGTGGGCAGGCGTGTGTTTACCGCCATATAGCCAGGTGTGTCTTTACCACCCTATTTATCAACCATAAGTACAGCTGCAGTGGTGTCTTCAATTTCATTCTCCCGTTTCCTAAAACTTGTAAAAATTAATAGGCAACTCTTGAACATTTGTACAAATTTGCTGTCGAAAAGGTCAAAATCGTACGCCAAATGGCTTGTCGCATCGCAAAGGTTGAGCAAGCTCAACTTCTGCGATGGCCCAGATGCGGCAGTTGCGTGGGGTGTGGGGTGGCTGCGATTTGGGGATTTGCAAGCTTCGCGGCTGTCGCATCGCAAAAAAGCTTCTGTGAATCCCGCTTTAGGGCTGCGCAACGCCTGGCATGTTCTTTCATTGAGCAACACTGTACTTGTACTCCCACTCCCACTCATGTATTTCTGCTGATAAACTGCACGTAGTACAGTCATGTACAGACATTGTACATACCCCGTCATGCCCTCTCCCTCCAATCACAACTATGCTAAAAACACAAAGACACAAACACACACACACACACACATCCACACACACATCCACCACTCCCCCCCCCCCCCCCCCCCACACACACACACCATATATACGCCATGTATACGCCCGTCGCAAGAGAAGCACGCAAATCTGCAAATGCACTGGATGTGCACCCACAGGTTTTCTCTTGTAGCAACGATAGCGAACAAGATCTGAATGAGACAGATCAAGACTAGCCCCAGATAACTGTCTAATCCACACAACTGGCGAAGCCATGTGAATCGACCACCAATGCACACATGGTCTACACCACACGGAGTACATCGGCATAAAACGGCCAAGACAGTTACCTATGCACACCCTGCACTTGCTGGGGTAACCAGCATACACACACACACACACTCACACACGCACACACACACACACACACACACAGACACACACAGCACGCAATTGCCACACACATGGAAAAACAGCGGCAAAGTACTCACCACCAATGGCAACATATGTAGCGTGGTCTCTTACTCAGCAAGCACCGCTACCATCTACAATACTTCGCAAACTGCAAGAATTCTATCTCAAGTCTAAAGAAAAACTCACTCGTAAAATACAATTTTCCGCAAAGGAAATATCTTTCACTGACAAAGCCAGCTGATCTAGAAAAGACGAAGGGCTGAACTCCAGCCAGTAGACTAGTCCACTATTTAGTCATCTTCACTGTCTCAGTGTCTGTCCATAGTGTGGCTCAACTGACAGCTGATTGATCTGTGCCGTTCTCAAACTCACTGACTGTTATCATTATTGGCTTGTCCGCAAAGCGCTGCATGAACTGCCTGTCCGTAGATCCAAGCCAGGATGGCAGATCCACGCGGTGCGCGCGCCTCTCCGTGGTCTTCCGACCTCACCGAGTCAGTCGTGGCGCCGCGGGCCGCACCCCCGTCATAAACCTGACTAATACCAAGCGTAGATAACCCGGTGATGTACGCTTGGTAGTACTACTGTAGTAGTACTACTATTCATGCTAATACTAGTAATACGAGAACGACGACGTTAGTTGAGAGTCTGCAACTACAAGCCTACATGCACAATCATGCACCAGTCTTTTGACAGTTTCGTCCACACTGGACACCAGCACCTAACCGTCCTTGGATTCGTAGATCTACAGAGTCGTATAGTCAAGACGTATTCTTGGATATGTCTACTAGTAGTAGTATTACTTTCTCTGAGCATGTGAGGCTGGAGAAACGTACGGTAGATACTGTAGAAGTACAAATTTTTGTTCACGAAATCTTTCGTGAGATCACTCCACCAGCAGGCTTGTTATGTACTAAATTTCGTTTTTGGTCGAGGTCTGTCACCCCGAACGATCAGAAAAAAACCTTTAGTTTGGTAGAAACTTTAGTTATTTCGTGCCTCCTGACGAATAATTATGCAAAAGATAATTCCAAACGAAAATTTGTACTTATACAGTACCAGGGAGTCCTAAAATATCGGTATTTTGCGACTCCCAGGTGGATGTGCTGAGCTGCTAAAATGACGTCGGATCACGTGAGAAAAATATGCCCTTTTCGTTGTGCAGCCCCGGCCCCAGCCTTGCGGACACTGGGCCCATGATTATCTCTCCTGCAGATCGCAACGCTGGCTCATTCGATCGAGCCGCGGGCTTCGTCTCGAGTCTCTCGGCTCTAGGCTAGCTCTCTATCTCTCTCTCTGTCTCTCTCTGTCTCGTCTACTTGGTCTACATTATGGCGCCTTGCCCCTATTGCCTGCTGTAGCCTGCATGCAGTGCTGGATGTGTGTGAGATATTGCACGTGATTCATCTACGTGTACACGTCAGTGTGCATGATGTCATGGTGCTCCATGGCTACATTCATTCATGCATAGCAAGACTAGTAGATCTACAGACAGACAGTCGAGTCTGTGCTCAGCACCGCTCACACTGTCACAGCTCACCAAAGCAGTCCAACCTCATGAATAAAATAGCGCAATAAAACACAGTAGCGCCGGGAGCTACGCAGCCCTGCCCCTAGCACTACACAATACTGCTGGCCTGTGCACTGGAACGCGGCGCTTCTGTCTTTACAAGTTTATTCACGAGGTTGGATATCTTTGGCCAGCACCGTAGATCAGCTTTTGTGTAGTGGCCTTTATTTTAGTCCTGTCGTCATGTACATGTACATATAGATTATGGGTAAGCGGATTATGTTCGGGAAATGACCCGATTATGCTCTAGCGGATGCTCGCAGGATGCTCCAGAAAACAGCCAACTATGTCTTTTATATGCTTCAACAAAAAGACCAACAGAACAGATAATTTTATAATAGCAATAAAGAGAACAAATTCTGCAGTCATCGCCACACTACAACAAAGTCATGAAAGTTTACCAGAATTAATTTTCTTGTCACATTCATCAGTGGAAAGTCGTGACTGAAGAGATAATCGTCAGATAATCGTCATGAAAAACCGTCATGAAAAAAGGACTCAGACCATTGTCATGATGTGAACTGGGAGTCTTGTGGAAGTACAAGACAATAATAATGCAAGAGGAATACCAGATTCACAAGCAAACGCTGAACTTTTGGGAGATGTCCTTTAGTGGCTGCTAAAATATTGTTCCAAATCGACAAGAAGCGCTATGTATGGTCCTTCAATAGCAGGTGTGTATAGTTATAACAGCCTCATGATTGGGCATCTGCCCTTGTTTTTCGGATGCCATTTTATGCTCCTTCTCAAAAGGACCTGATTATGCCAAATAGTATGCCTTCAATTATGCCTTCAATACTATTATAGCAAGTGTGTATGAATGCCTCATTGGGCATCTGCCCCTTTTTCCGATGCCATTTTATGCTCCTTCTCAAAAAGGACCTGATTATGCCCAAAATAATGCCGGCATAATCCGCTTACCCCTACCGATATGTACAGGAAATGAAGTCATTACGAAAAGCGGGTTGGGAATGTAGAACATTAGTCGTTTGCCCTGGTACTTCAGACTGGGACTTGTGGTTTTCGGCGTTCGGCAACAAGCCTATACTGTATACAAGAGAACTGCATTGTTCCTGGTTGACAAGTGTTATGAACCGTACACACATGTCATGGCAATTATCAGGTGCTGCATTTCTTTTGCCCTCCCACCCTCCTGTACACTAGACATGCGCCTTAGAGGATATACAGTGTTCGGAAAATATCAACAAAGAATCGATCAACAAGCTTCCTGTCAAGTTGGCGGTTTCTGCGGCAGCAATTAACTCAGTCCAATCTCGCTCAAATCCAGTGATCGAAATATCCAGGGCGAAGAGAAAACTCTCACCTGTCAGGAAAGCAACGGTTCCTGAGATATATCACTCGTAAGTTGAGCCGCGATCGCGGCAATTTCAAAAGCGCGCAGGGCGACTTTAGTATTGAGAATTTTGAGACTTCTCGTCGCGCTGGTTTACTCGAATTTGCACGGGTTTCACTGTTGATATTGTCAAGAGTATACAGCGAAAAAATTGGAACTCCACGATCGAGTAAAATGAAATATCTGGAGCGGGACGCATTTGGACGCATTTGGGGCATTTTTCGTACTGTCGCTGCGATCTAGCTCCGGATAGACGGTGTGCTGGCTATCATGATCGACATTATTCTCTTCCTCTCGCGGGGACCTTTCCAGGAAGCCCTAGGTTGTGAGGATTGAGTGATTAGAACTGAAGCTATGATCCAAGGAACACGAAAAAATGCAGAATTTTGAAATTTCCCTGTGGCTCTTAAGGGTTTACGTTGGGTTATGCGACTTCATTTTTCCCTGGAGCCTGTGAAAACGAAAACCGCATCCAATGCCCCTTCATAGAGGGAAAGGAGTGTTCTCTAAGCTGTATTTTGTGTTCAAACTGTAGATGTAGAAAATTTCTCTGAATTAGATCAGCGTCACGGTCTAGCACTTTATATCCATTACATACTGTTGCTCCACGATATAAATAAATGAACCTGAACACCAGAACATGGAACACATGTACTTGTTTTAAAAGTGTCGTTTACCTTGACTCATCGCTCAATTCCTTCATATCTCCATCATTGGCCCTATCTCCATCAACATGGTGTGCCGAATACTCCTCTACTTCTACCTACACAGTATCTCACTATCAGAATAATGGACACATGGATTTTACGCAGCATGGATGACGTCATTGGACATTGATAATGCACACACAGTGAGATGCAAAACAACAGACACCAAAGACTTTCTTCTGCTCCGCTGAGTTTTATCAAAACAATACCAGGCCCGTCTTCTAGCATGTTATATGAGCTAATTCAGCTGTTAGCATACCTTATCTAAGTGGTGATGTTAGTCCGAAGATTACCAAGTCGTTGGTGCTGTAATTGGTAGCAAGTAGCTGGTATTGTATAAATCAAGCAGCAGTTGAGTGTAGATCCTAAGCAGTACATGCGATATTGACATTTTGTCATGAGCATGAAAGAGTAAAACTGACACACACACACACACACACACACACACACACACACACACACGCACACCTCAGACCTCAGACATGCCCATCGCGGAAGCGATGATAGCGAACAGCTATGTTAGACATAGCAACGTGTGCACACACTTACTTACTTGTACTTGCTCACTGCCAAACTGGTCACGTGGGTCTGAGTGGGAGAGGGGAGAGAGATTCAAAAGGAATCTTGGAAAGATGACTCAATTGGCCATTGAACCACCCAACGGCCGACACCCCCTGAAATCCCCAAACTAGGGTGGACTTGAAATGATCCCACTTATGGGCTCACCACACCTCAGTAAGTGGGTGAGGACAAGGTGCAGAAAAAGGATTGAAGGCATCAGGGTATCCGTCCCGGGATCCAACTGCAGTTACCCCTGCCCCCAGTGAAGGTAATACTTGCTACTAGTGTGGGTGGCTAAATCAGAGTGGATCTGATAAAAGTTTCACTAGCACCATTCATTACACAACAGTTAATCTAGCAAGAAGTAGTCCATGGTTAACAGGTATGTATACTTCAAATACACCATTGGACCATTGGACGCCCATCGCCGCAGGCGATGATAGCGATGCTACAGCAGAAGCCATAGCAGCTTGTACTGGGATTGCACCATTCAACAGCTTGCAAGGCTGAAGAATTGACCGCCACTATTCAGCCTGGTCTACACCACACAGCTATGAAGTAGCTTTTTCTGGCCAGTGAATCCCTATTTTTTGGTCTTTTTTCATTTTTTTCTTTTCCGCACACACATCACACCACATACTCCGGCATGCACTGTCTGTTGGTAACCACCCAGGAGAATGAATACTTCAAATACACACACACACACACACACACACACACATACACACACATGTGATAAATCCTCACTCACGAACCTGGGTGCAATATTTTCAAATTAGGAGTTCAAAATGTGAAAAGAAATATTGCAAGAGTCTGCTTTCGGCCAGCCGGGAAATAGGAAGTTACCTCCAGAGAGCCTGTAGTGGCTGTGTCTATCGGATGGTTCCGCGATCGACTTGTGTTTCCCGCGACCCGTCACAATTTGTGAAGCTCCTTGTCTGCTAGTTCAATAGCGGAGACGAGAAACCCAATGACATGCATGACTGCGGCAATGCGCCCAGTGAGAAGGCAGATTTTGCCTGTGCTTCTGGTGAAGTAAAATAAAGCTAAACAAACAAAACAAACAAACTGCTGTGTGCTTGGCTGGCAACGTGTCTACGACCCTGACCTAGAGACAGATGCCATAAGGTCCAGGATTGGCGGTCCTGCATGGAAGGCCATGGGATGTTACGACCGGATGTGACCCACAGTAAATTGGGAGCTCGCGATCGGGCACGAGGGATGCATGGTAAGCATCGAATGTGACGTTTGGTCTTGGACCACGTTCTGGTGGGTCTGTTGTGCTCCTCTCATCCAACGCTCAACAAAAAGTACATGTAGTGGCATATTCGCCTTGATACTTAAGGTGGTGGTGGCTTCTCAATGAGTGGGGAGCGATCAGTGTGATTGACTGTCCAGACAGTTAAGAGATGAGCTCACACGCCATAACGATTATAATATTATCACCATGTGTAGTGAACTGCGCACTGATTTCAATGATGGACGTCCCAGGCTGATTGTATTGACCAACAGATAGATAGCAGACAGAAAATCCATCTCCATTACACCGTCACAATCCTTAACCGTTACCGACATAAAATAAACAACCCACATTCTCACTGGAAAACCAAACAGACACTCCTGTTCGAAATGCCTTGTAACCGCCGAAGACCGCTCTGGCTCAGGTATGTTTGAGAAGGCCCGAAATCGACGCCACTCCCGGAGCTGCAGATGCAATTCAATGAATGACTCGAAACTGCCATCCTAATGCGGCGCCGAGCCCAAAACAGATGAGAGAGGTGAGTGGTTGGCCTGATATATGCCTGGTGTGGTACTAGATCTACCGATATTCAACCTGAGCTACAAGTACACTAATGATAGCAGGCAGTGATGTGATTATCACACATGTTAGTACACTGTGTGCAGTGAGTACCGGTTGTTTGTTATTAGTCACACCTGACCTAGAACTGCAACAAAATGGTTACATCTGGCCGGCGAAACTGTGACGATGCGTGTCAGAGATCCTGCACGTTCCGCTGCCACAAGCATATCCGACTGGTTTGGGGAGGCTTGGAGGATGCCTTCGATAAACCACGTCTGATCGGTGAGGATACGGACTACACTGTAGCTAGAGTTCAGGATATTTCTTGACACATCACAACGAGTGGGGTAAAACGTAACAAGTATTTCGAAGACAGTGTTCGCCTGCAACCAGTAACTACGTCTACATGATTGTACATTGAATACCAACATGTATTATGTAGGTAAGTGTCTAGATGCGATCCACTACTAGTAAGGCTGTCATCACACCATGGTACAAAGCGCTGCGTCTACGTCCACGTAAGGAGTTTTTGGTCGGTTGTCATGATGATCCGTATACGGGTGAAAAGGGGAGCAGAGGAAACGGGAGACGTAGACGTGGTATGGAGAGGGGGGGGGGGGGGGTATACGACTTTTTGTGTGAACGTGCGTATCTCCCCCAGCCTTTTTCCGAGCGACCCTGTACTTCGATGTACGTGGGTTCAAATTTCGCCACAAAACCTGACTGCGTGTACGCGTCAAGAACTGTGCCTGTCTGATGACACGACCACCCGTTTTGGTTTTTTCACCATAGACGTAGACGTAAACGGGAGTCGGAGAACGTGGTGTAATGACGGCCTAAGGCTAAGCTACAGCTGAATGCAGGGAGTTAGAACTGCATCTACCAAGCAAGCTAGACTTAAAGTTGGACCCATACATGTATTTTGCTTCATTGCCTTGCAGTGCTCTTCGGTGTAGGATCACTTCATGCTCCTTGGACAGCCACATATACATGTGCATGTGTATTGGCTAATAAGAAGCCCAGTCCTGACCATTGTTTGGAAAGTACCGGTTTTTGAAGTTCGCGTCTTTCCAAGAAGGTAGTCTATAATTATCGTGTTTCCTCGCCGGAAAAACGACTAAGTGGTCTTGCACACAATGGAAGCAAGTCATTCGGCCGTGGTGGTTTTCGCTGTTGTGCTGTTGTTAGCATCGATTGACCGGCATCATCAATGCGTGGCCCAGCGACAGGGTGAGGATAGGATCATTATTGTGTTTTGTTGTTTAGAATTCAGTTCGAGTGGGTAGGCATTGTGCATGACTGGCAGTGTATGTGCATGTGCAAATACTCTGCTGCTCAATGACATCCAGTCGCGTCACTCACGTTTGCGCCTTGCACCATTTCGCAGTGTTCGGTGTTCGCAGGTCTGAGGCTGCGCGACGCCCGGCGCATACCTGAGGGATGCGACTGGATTAAGGCAATTTGTGATGTATGAGTGCTGACTCTGCTCCTGAACCACTGCCTCTTTAACTCTAGTACATCTCTGTATTATTATTATCATGTTGTAAACCCCTTACCGTACCACACAATACCGTCTGATATCTACTCTATTCCGAATTTAAAAAGAGAGGTCGTACATCCGTGTTACCACCGCTAACGTGTTCAGAAACAAAATCAGCTTAGAGAAGTAACGCTTGCGCCAGGCCACCATCATGCCTGTGATACCCGGGTGGCAGATGCAGCGTCATAAACAGCGAGGGTGAGGGGGTAAGTCTCACAACCAATGCCCGATAAGGGGGCGAACCTCGTTAGCTGCATCTATGTTACCTGGCCTCACTCAGAGTGCTGAGTACCTAGTCGACCGTAGCCTGAATAAACGCTTCGAAATCCGTACTGTACCAGGACCTTAACTTTCCTCCAGGTTTATCCCTTTATGTAGATTTCGACAGCCAGCATGAAAGTAATTTGCGAGATCATGAAGCGGGTGGTGTGCCCTGAACTCGCTCCCCCCCCCCCCCCCTCCTTCCCGTCTCCCAACGCACCTGTCCGGTTTGATTCTCAGGTACATGTACTGTAGAACTGCTGCAGAAGCACATGCGCTGCGCAACTTTTGCAAAGTAATCCACAGCTAGCGTTGGCATGGCTGGCCATTGGCATTGTAGAAAGAGCAGTGAGAGCAGTGAGACCAGTGAGAGAAGTGAGAGCAGTGAGATGTTATGTATCAATAATACAATCCTGCAATTACCACGCTAGCCTCAGCCCACGCTGGCTTGACGCAAGACTGACTCATGACCGACATCCAGAGCATACCGGATACGGGGAACCCTCTGATTCTTCATTGGGAAAACCTGACCGGAAGCATCGCTCCCGTCTCATTACACAGTGGGTCTGTAGTCCGCCAGTTGAGCTTGCGTAGAGTGAGTAAGTTGGTGCCTCATTCAGCCTGGATAGCATTTTATTACACTCTCTGTTAGGGTCCAGCGGATAATGCCAGCATTATATTCGGCATTATGAGACTATCCGAGCATCAGAGCATCATGGAGCATTAGAAAGGATCAAGACGAGCATTATGTGAGGTTTTAGCGGCATAACGAGTTTCATAGTGAATAATGTGGGGAAATATCAGGTTTTAGCAACAATCGGTTAAAGCCATGAGGTGCAACGCCATTGTATTGACGTATTGTACCTGCACATGACTTTGTGATTTGTAGACACGTAACGCCTTTAGCACTATGCTACATTTACCTGACTACGTAAATGTACATGTACAGGTGATGTAGCATGCCCAATGTTGCAACAGTTACTGATCTGATCAGGCTGTTACACAAAATCCGTAGCGATGATTTACGAAGAGTTCTTTCTTAGAAATCATGGAGGGCCATGGATGAGACTAGACGTACGCGAAGTGAATATCAAACAGACGAAGAGGAGTTTACCTGTTATGCCATAAGCTCTGGCCATAGCATCTCTAGCGATACTGAAGCAAACACTGATCCATTGATAAATTTGGACCTGGATGAATGAGCGGCTATAAACAGAAAGAGCTTGTTCCAAATAAACTGTCTTTGCCGAGTCCAGCTCAGCAGGCTCGAAAAGAACTAGAATTTCTCATGGACGTAGTACCAAGTCGATTTGAGTGCTCAGCAGTGCGTGTCTTACTTTCCTGGTAAAGCACGTACAGTTCGTCGTGGACGATTGTAATGCAAGGCCTACAGTCAAGTGCTATCAGAAAAGAATAGTTTTGTGGCAAACCAAAATTTTTGTCTCCGCGCAACCTCAGGAGAAGAAGACAGCGCAAGCAGAGGATGTAGAGCGGCAAAATAGCTTCAGACCTCGTGTTTTCAGGATTTCCGCAAGTGGGAGGGATCCCGATCTGAGATCGTCTCTCAGGAACTGGCCTCACGTGAGCTGTTTCAGATGAAGACATTTTTCACAGATTGGAAGCAGTGACAGCTTGTCTGCAGGCAGGAATACCAGCACTTCCCATGATAAGCTTCCAGCATCCAAATGATCACCAGCAATGATGGTGTCACCTCTCACTACATGAATAAGCAAGGGAAAAGATCTGATACACTCACTATTCAGCCACAGCCCTGCATCAAAGTAGCAATGGAGAGCAGCCGGTGGAGACGCGATCATGTCTTGTAGTGCTAAGAAGTGGTGGAGCTCGTGAGAGATATTGTAGCAGCTTCAGAGGCAGATTGACTTAATGCATCCTTTCCTGGACGTTTGACAATGTGCAGCCTTTCTTCCATTGGTTTCCAAACCAAGAGCATTATATCCCTTGTTGAAACATTATAATCAGCATTACAAGGTAGTTTTTGGCGCATTATGATTAGAATTATACGAACATTTTCGGAGCATTATCCGCTCCTACTCTCTGTCATGAATTCTTGTGAATACTAGACAGCAGCGCGAGTCGTTGTCGCTCATAGGTGTGAGGAACAATAATTATGATAGTGATAAATCAGGGTTATTAAAGTTACCTCTCCTAGGCCGTTCACAGTGTTGTCACGTTTTCATATTTGCTCCTTCGAACGAGCTAGCTGCAAGTGTACACAGCACAAACCATCACCTAGTGTGACCTATTCAAGAAGTGTCATGTCGCTGGGACAGATATTGACTTGAAAGTTGTTGGCAATACCCACCATAATTTTATCTGTATGGTCAAGGCCGTAGCCCCCTAGCTTGCACTGTTGTTATTTTCGGTGCCTGAAGATCGATCGCCGTGGGGGTGAAACCCCAATTCGAAAGAACGTTATTGCTTGATCATGTATTCATGGAAGATATCGTTTGTTAACATTGGTAGCCTTTAGCTCATCGTACACGATTATTGCCTAAGAAGAGCGAACCTTTGCTCCGGTTCTGAATTCGTCATTTGTCTTCATCTAGTTTTTCTCCTCCATCACTCCTATTATCTTTGTAATCATAATATTCAGTCTTTATTGTCGGGTCTAAACAAATGCGGACTCACTATTAAACACCCCTACTCATCATTTCATCATCCTCTATAGTCTATACTGTGTATTGGTGCAGCTGTACTGCGCTGAACGTCTTTAGGGGAAATTCAACTTTTCAAATTGCCAACCTTTAGTAAAACGGAAATTTATTTGATTGTGGACATGCCAGGTCGATCGGAGCAGCCGTTCCGGTGACCCGGTCGCAGCAACTAGATTTTTCATTGAATTCGGTTACATCATGATGACGTCATAACTTGTTCCGAATAGGTCAGATCTGGGGCGTGACAGAGGTAAAGTTTGCATGGCAGACCCCTGAGACATGAGAGGATAAGGAAACGACAGGGTCTTGGCTTTCAATGGCAACATTTTGAAGTCGGGTGTTCCCAACTTTGGAATGGAAATATGATATCTTATTGGTATACCAACTGGGAAATGTTTGGCAAGAAAATATGTGGCTGTAGCAGAGTAAGAAAGAAATGTATAGGCTTTATAAGCTTCGTTGTTCACTGGCATTGCATTGCGATCAGTTTGACCAATGACCAGGAGCTCCGCTGACGAGACCTAACAAGTTGGAAACAGCTACCTGTTCTGAGATTGAGCAGACCTATACGAACAAGTCCGGGGCTAATAGGGGGGGGGGGGGGGGCAACTCATCATTCGCAGCGCTAAAAGGTGATTTCTACAAGGTGACAAGGTGCTACCCTAACGACCCACTTAAATAGCGCTGCAGTGAAAGTGTATAGTGATTTAATAGCCCACTCCATTCTTGATGACCCTCAGTTATTTCGTTTCCTGTCCAACCATCTTTGGAGTTGTATGATTGTACTGTTGAGGCAACGAACTAAAATGAATCAAAATCAAACAAACAAAACATAGTGAAGATACTTAAAATGATCAAGTGAAGGTGTGCAATGATAGTGGACATTCACGATGATTAATGATAGTATAATTGTAGGGAACTAGCAATGCAGTGAAAGTGCGTAATGACTAGGTGAAACTACATGACTTTATGTAGCGATGTAGTGAAAGTGTGCAACGATGTAGTGATGTAGTGAAAGTGTGCAACGATGTAGTGATGTAGTGAAAGTGTGCAACGATGTAGTGATGTAGTGAAAGTGTGCAACGATGTAGTGATGTAGTGAAAGTGTGCAACGATGTAGTGATGAAGTGAAAGTGTGCAACGATGTAGTGATGTAGTGAAAGTGTGCAACGATGTAGTGATGTAGTGAAAGTGTGCAACGATGTAGTGATGTAGTGAAAGTGTGCAACGATGTAGTGATGAAGTGAAAGTGTGCAACGATGTAGCGATGTAGTGAAAGTGTGCAACGATGTAGTGATGTAGTGAAAGTGTGCAACGATGTAGTGATGTAGTGAAAGTGTGCAACGATGTAGTGATGAAGTGAAAGTGTGCAACGATGTAGTGATGAAGTGAAAGTGTGCAACGATGTAGTGATGTAGTGATGTAGTGATGTAGTGATGTAGTGATGTAGTGATGTAGTGATGTAGTGATGTAGTGAACGTGCGGTGTGATGATTGTAGGAATGTAGTGATGGTATGATGTTGCGATGTGACGTGGTAAGTAGAGGTATAGCAGTTACGCCTGTAGCAGGCAATAACGAATACTACGAACCAGTGTACATAATTATTATTACAGGGTGCGACAGAGCTCTCGGCCATTGAAGAAGTGTACATAATTATACTTCTATACTCTAGTATCAGTGTTCTTGTGCGTCTTGAAGTTGAAGCAGTCTGCAGCTTTGTAAAGGTACACATCGGACAGGTTGGTGTATTTAGCTCATTTCGGTTGCTTTCCCTTAGTTCTTTTCAGTGCATTGCTGTCCATGTCAGGGCTGAGACAGTGGATTCGGCTCGCTCCAGTGGCATTGCTCGCGAAAATGTCCTTGTTCCACCTTCATCTGCTGGTCTTGTGAGCAGTTCGCTCTCGCCTCAGTCAGTCAGGTCCAGTGTTTGCCTAGCTCCATTCAACCAGTATGTAGTGTAAATACCAGAGGCAGCTAAGGCATTAGTCGATACTGGACGACTCAGGGAAGACTGGCCGTACCAATATTATTTATACCAGATTAGGTCGGGGCTGACCCTATCACATTGGTTTACCTACGGACGGGAGGAGCAACACCTACTCCTCTGTGGGAGCTTGAGGAAGGAGCCACTCATCATTGCCAGGTACGGCTGAGTATTGTCGTGACTGCGGTTCTGTGGAATGCATCTTTCATCTAAAACGCATTCGTAATGATGCAGACAGGAGAGAAAAAATTAATAGTAATGAGCCACGGTGTATGCACTTCCTTCCATCAAATACAATGATGTGAAGAAGAGGTTGGTGCGACTTCAGCGATACTTGGGGAAATGTGTGTTGCTCCCCATATGGGAGCTCGCACTTTTCCTGCTGACTTGAATTCTCAGTTGACTGAATCAGGACTGCCATCCAGAGCGCACGAGAAGGCCATCGAACCGTCCACTCGGCAAACCTGCAAGAAAGCTCATGAGTTAGTCAAGTGAGAATTCAAGTCGGCAGGAAAAGCGCGAGCTCCCGTGTAGGGCGCAACACACAATCCCCCAAATACAATGACGCACAGCTTGCACAATGCGCTCCATTCTGATTTTCATTCACGTTCTAGCGAAACATAGGTGAGCCTCCATACACAGTATGTCGAGAATCAGAAAACGGCTGTACATGCGTCGCTGAGTATTACGTACATAGTGCACACACGTAAAGCACACATGGATTATGTGGGACTAAACATCCCTAATAAGCAGTCAGGACCGTGAACCTTCCAAGTTGGAAGGCTGTTGGTTTGCGCACAGGAGATGTGTTAGAGCTAGCTCCCAGGGCGCTGAATGTCTCAGTAGCCTGTCAGTTTTGTGCCCTGTTATCGTACTTTATCACTGCTTATTATCTTGTGACAGTCGTGGATACTTGCTGCATAACTCGTTCCCATGGATATTTACTCCGAAAAACTTGTCAGCACCTTCTAGGTTCAGCCTGGTCCCATAGCTCAGTCGATGGGAGAATTGCTCATGACAAGCAAGGTCCCCGGGTTCAAGTCCTGGTGGGTCTGGCATTTTTTATCTTTTCAGGCAGTTTACTTCCCCTGACTGTTTACCTTCAAATTGAGGCTGGTCTTGCAATTATGCATAGCGCCATTTTCTTAGGAATTCACTTCAAGTGGCTGTAGCAGAGTTTAGTGCTGCGATGCTTTGGAAAGATTGCTAAAGCTGAGCATAGAATCCATCAACACTTGCTTGTTTTCTCACTTGTGAATGCATGTGCGCTCGTATGCATGTACATGTGCGTGTGTGTGTGTGTACGTGTGTATGTGTGTATGTGTGTATGTCTGCATATGTTCTGTGTGTCCGTATGTATATGTATATATGTGTGTATGTGTGTATATGTATATATGTGTGTACGTATGTAAATGTATGTATGTGTGTATATGTATATGTGCACGCCCTTGTGTATGTACATGTGAATATGCGGGCGTATATGTGTGAGTTTTCTCATAGGTGACCTTCGCCTTGTGGATGGCGGGTCTCATTTCAGAGGACGTCTTGAAATATTCGGACGTGGCGGATGGGGAACTGTGTGTGATGATCACTGGGATCATGCGGACGAGAAGGTAGCATGCAGACAACTGGGTCTTCTACCTCGGCAGCCATCATCTTATAGTCATCAACGGTACGTTCCTATGGTGATACAGTTACCGTATTATCTCCATTATATTAGAGACTTGGCTTCTACTAGAGACTAGGCTTATCATTTTTTAACCACCTGTTACATGTACATTGGTCATCATTATTTTATCATTACACCAGTAGCACAAAGCTTCCCACCAGGTATCGGGAATGCAGTTTTGTACTCCCTGGTACGCTAAATCTGTTCTTTTTACCTCAGAGTTCACAGACTTGTGCCACAACATGTGCGTTTGTGACACTTTGTGATGTCAAACATGCATGGACATGATCCATACAGTTCTCCATTATAAGCCCTGCGCTTATTTTGGACACTGCGCTTGTATATCTTTGAAGCCCTCTTGGAGTGCGCTTATAATAGAGACTGGGCTTCTACAAGAGACTGTGCTTGTGATTGAGATAATACGGTATGCACCATGTACAGGTCCTCCCTCGTTATAACGAGTCCGGTTAGTACATAAACCCCGTTAGTAAATAGAAATCTGAAATCCCCTGGCGAAACGTGGTCTATACAACTGTTCACAGGTCCGGTTACAACATAATCCGTTATTACATAAAATCCGTTATAACGACCCTTTGCCCAGGTCCCTGGAGTGCCAAACCCTCAGTATAAGATAATACTGACCATGGAGGACCAAGGCCAAAACACGTAGGATAAAGCAGAAAGAGGAAACGTATTATGTCTATGTATTCGTGAATATGGACGATCCTTTGTATTCAAGGAAGAGTTATGTTGGAGTAACTTGGAGATTTTCAATTATCTTATAACGAGTTGAAGCATCGATAATTTATGTTGTAATGAGGGTAGCCCCGGTAAGTACGAAGGAGTGCCTACTTCACCTCTAGCTGCAAGTCCTGCTACAAGATAAGTCTCGTTATAAGATAACTTTTTCGATGGCCCAGAGATTATCTACTAACGAGGGTGGACCTGTACTTTGAAGTACCCACGGAGACGAGTAACGTTAGCAACAGCTTCTGGAGCAATACTCAATATACTTGGCACTGAGCATTTGACGCATGCCGTGGAAGACGAGAACCACTCTGATTTTTTTACAATTTAGAGTTTCACGCCTATTCGTGGAAACCATCATGCACATATCCTGTGTGTAAAGATTATGGGTCTTATAATTCACTAGTTTGAAGGAAAGAGACAAACGGGAAAACGGGTCTTATTATTATTGATATTATTAATATTTTTAAAAGAGGTCGGAGGCGGATAATACTTTAAAACGAAGGTAAGTTATGGGTCGCAAATATCCACGCAAACACACATCCAGTCATGATAAGGCAATTGTCATAAGTATCCGAACGTTTTCGGTCCCTTCTCATCAAGGATTATACAGGGAATGGCTCAAGTTGGAAAGACTAAAACTTATATATTATAGCGTAAAGATAATTAGATAACAACACTCCTGACAAGGTGGAAAATTATCAAGTTTAGCACGACACAAAACTCGAAGGAAAATAATAATAGTGACAACAACATAGTGAGCAAATTAAGTTACATTGTTACCACCTCGACGAGGAGTAACACCAAACAATTGTAGCAACAACACATTTTCTTTCTGTACGCAAAGTTCAGGATCTAACTTACGGATATACAAAGCTTCTAACACAGCCAAATGCAACGCACATCTACCACGTGACAATATTGAGAAAACATTATCACTGTACAACTCACGACAATTGGTACGGGCTGACAGATGTTGCTTGATTGACGAAGTGCGATTCTTAGCTCCATTGGGTGTTGTCTCCTCCAATGTCCCGTCATCTTGCCTCTTCGTGGCATCACCACTATCCATCTCTTCGCGTTTCCGCGGCCTTCCACGTTTCTTGACACTAACCGTTTGCTCACTATGTTGTTGTCACTATTATTATTTTCCTTCGAGTTTTGTGTCGTGCTAAACTTGATAATTTTCCACCTTGTCAGGAGTGTTGTTGTCTAATTATCTTTACGCTATATACGTTTTAGTCTTTCCAACTTGAGCCATTCCCTGTATAATCCTTGATGAGAAGGGACCGAAAACGTTCGGATACTTATGACAAGTGCCTTATTATTAAACGGGAAGTTAAGGCAAAAATTAAAATTTCACCAGTTGTAGTCTTCGGGGTGCTGAGTCGAATGGTCTTGGTCCGAGAAAGCTGAGACGCTCCCTTCCTACTTGAATCCCAATCGTACTCGCACACTTCCACCGAAACTGGGTGACTGCGCCCTACTAGATGGGGATTTGTATGCAAAATGTCACTAAAAGCGCCATTTCGTTCTTATAAAAGCACGGATGACCGCGATTGGCCCATATGTTGTAGTCTTTTGGACGCTGAGTCGACTGGTTTTGGTCCGAAAAGGCTGCGATGCAGCGTTCCTCCTTTATTCCCAATCGAACATGGTTGAACAAGTGGTCACGTGCTCCTGGGTGCCCAAATCACCTGGTCACCACGCCAGCAGGCGACAACTTTCACACCAAGGTTCAACTCGAGTTCAACTTGACAGGACTTTTTTTTTTTTAACTTGGTAAACCGGCCTCTTGTACGGGCAGAATTAAGTAACACAATGATACAATAAAAACAAGTACCAGTAGTTACATACATGGACCATACGAGAACAGCAATGATGACGAGGCATAAACAAGTGTCTAGTGCTGTATGGCAGCTTCCGAGACAGCGAGTCGAGCGGATGACTCAGCCACCTCCGGGTGCGAATACAGCCGTCGTGCACCACGCAGGCAAGCCACGCCGGCACGGAGAAGGGCAAAGCTGAACCTGCAGCGGATCCATGCCATCACTGCAGAGTATGGCTCACCAGATTTGTCGGAGACCATTGCAGCTATTCTCTTGAGGAGAGTGGCAGCAGCTCGACCAGTACCACCAGTTGCAGCGAAAACCACAGGGATGAAGGTTCCACGCTCGACCTCCTTGACGCGCTGTTCGTATCGCCTCCATTTTTCACGTTCATGACGCTGGTAGCAAGCGGTGATGGAAGAGGATCGATTTGAGGGAGCAAAGGGGTTGAAAACCCGAATATCGAGAAAGACTCTCTCAAACCGACCTCCCCAAACACCACTCGCCGCAACATCAAGTCGAGCCTGGTCTTCTGTGGAGGCAGTCTTGTAGCGGAGCTGCTCACCAGAGAGTGGTTGTAAGTGTGGCTCGATAGCGACACTATTGGCGACACGTTTCAATAGCGAGGCAGTGATGTCCCGCACCTCATTGTGTCGAAGTGACGGGAAACCTCCGGTGCTGCATGTCAGGGCATGGGCTACTGTGAAGCTGGCTCCACAGACACAGGTTGACGGTAAGCGAGAAGGCCGCCAGCCATAGCGCAGTGCCAAGCCATCGCGGAACTCGCTTTTGGATAGCACAAATCCATGACGGGATAGCGGACGACAAGTGAGCCAGCTGGAGGCGCCAGGCTCACTTGCCAACTGAATTGTGTGCTGCAAAGTGGGCGATGCGTCAGCAGCGAAGCCACGGATGTCGGTCTTCGCTTTCTGGCGGTGATCTGCACGCTGTGACGCTTTGGCTGAAGCAACGCTGGCAAGAGCTTCCGTCACACTGAAGTCTTGGTCGAGGATGTTGGTGGTGAGCGCGGCTGTGATCGCGCGGGATGAGGCGTATTGGGTTGTTAGAGATGTTGGATTGACGATGCCCAGGCCACCATCCCGGCAAGGGAAGGCAAACAGCCGTCAGGACTGCACCCAAAAAAAAAAAAAAAAAAAAAAAAGGTCAAACAAGCTAGTAAGTTGTACCCTGCAGGCACGGTGACCAGCTGACTGGTGTACGCAGGAGCACGTGACCGCTTGTTCAACCATGTTCGATTGGGAATAAAGGAGGAACGCTGCATCGCAGCCTTTTCGGACCAAAACCAGTCGACTCAGCGTCCAAAAGACTACAACATATGGGCCAATCGCGGTCATCCGTGCTTTTATAAGAACGAAATGGCGCTTTTAGTGACATTTTGCATACAAATCCCCATCTAGTAGGGCGCAGTCACCCAGTTTCGGTGGAAGTGTGCAAGTACGATTGGGATTCAAGTAGGAAGGGAGCGTCTCAGCTTTCTCGGACCAAGACCATTCGACTCAGCACCCCGAAGACTACAACTGGTGAAATTTTAATTTTTGCCTTAACTTCCCCTTTAATAATTATTAAAAAGCTTCCGTGGGGGGTTAATAATTATTATTAATATTAGACACAATATCATAGCATGTGGCAAGCAAAGCTAATGCAGGGACAGAATCCCCTGAGACAAGGGCATTGAGCCAGCCACGGCAATAGTAAGCTAGGAAAACAAAGCAAATATGAATTAAAGCAAAAAATGAATTGAAAATTACAAAGAAAAACGATTAATGGAAGTGAGCACTATCAAAATTCGTGCATCACCCAGGTATTCGAGAATGTTCTTCGATAATAATTATTGCGTCTAGTTCAGTTGTGATGGTAGATCTTTAAACTGACCAATAGAAGAGTCTACTTGAACTCCCAAACTCCAATGCAGTGTTTTTCTTACACTAGATAACAACTTTATTCCACACTCTATGGTAAGCTCTAACCTGCACCTATTTTATGATTGCTTGCCAGTATTTTGGCTATCGGGCATCATCAGGCATTTTGTTGGGGATGGCGAACGAATACAACCACTACAGCCAGGTAAATGTTGAGCACAGAATTGGCAAAGCAAAAGAACTGGTGAACTGGTCACAGTATTATCAGCAACAACATCAAGTTCCACATTGTGAGAATGCCATAAATTCACGGTTCACGTAGAGACTCCGTTACAGCATCCCACCACCCTCAAGGATCAAAGGCTTAAAGTGCAGATACAGCAACTAAAGAGGAGGAGGTGAGTAGATCAGAGCAATAACCAAAGTAGCCAAGGCCTCAAATCCTACTCCCTGCATCCAATTGAGTAGCCTTTTAAGAGTGAAAGAGTGAGGTGGTGGTGGGGGTAAACATGTACGTGAGTAGTACGTGTCGAGCCGGTTTTGTGGTAGGGTCATCCCCAGCCCGAAAAATGGGGTACTATTGATAGTACCCCATTTTGGGGTAAAAAACCGGGCGCCCAATTTTTACGTAAACAAATGATTTTTCGGGTGTTGGAGGAGGTGAAGGGGGTATGACATCATGACAATAGTACCCCATTTTTTCGGGCTGGGGATGACCCTACCACAAAACCGGCTCGAAACATACTACTTACGTGATAAGTGCATATGGGAAAAATGTTCAGCGTCAGGTGTTGAGGTATGATTGGTAGTTGAAAAAATTAGTATGGATGTATCAATGTACTCAGATGGAGAGCCAAGGTTTAATTTATACAAAAGAGAAAGACCAAGGAACTACAAGTTACGCTATACTGTCCACTAACACCACCAGTTACTAAACAATCAGCTCATGCGATAACATTGCACGACACTGACCGACGGTACTGACGTTCATGAGCCGATTGTTTAGTAACTGGTGGTGTTAGTGGACAGTATAGCATAACTTGTAGTTCCTTGGTCTTTCTCTTTTGTATAAATGGATGTATCAAGTCATGATTCAGGGAAACGCTATCAATAGGTGACTTACACAAAGATCCAATGCGCAAGTGATGGAGGTCAACTGTCAGGTAGTTCAGTACACCCACGGTCACCCAGGCAACACTCAGTACACCCACGGTCACCCAGGCTTCACTCAGTACACCCACGGTCACCATGGCTACACTCAGTACACCCACGGTCACCCAGGCTACACTCAGTACACCCACGGTCACCCAGGCTACACTCAGTACACCCACGGTCACCATGGCTACACTCAGTACACCCACGGTCACCCAGGCTACACTCAGTACACCCACGGTCACCATGGCTACACTCAGTACACCCACGGTCACCCAGGCAACATTGCGTATCGGTAACCATACACTGTTCTGTTGTTTGTTTTTTTGTTTGTTTTTGTCATCATGACTGAACATTACACGGCATTTATATGTACCCCAGCAGCTCATGCTTTTGCAGTTGTTTTGCTTGACGTCACCGTGACAAGTATGGCAAGAACATGATGACTCCAGATCACCCAGGACTTTATGGAGAGTTTCGGATCTATAGCGTTTTCTAACCAAGCAGGATGGAAATTGGCTAATCTCAATCTGTTAAAGGCGAAGTAAACCATAATATTATTTAAAACATAAATTGCTCGAGTGAATATCGGTAGTTGGTTGCTGTTCCTCCTCTTTTGGTTCCTAGGTGAACCCCCGATGTTTCATAATGTTTCTACTAGGTCCTCCGCAGCCAGATACGACAATAAGCTCCTCTTGTCAAAAGTGGGAGTACATGTAGTTGTAATAATGAAAAATCAACTGCAGGCCAGGCGTCCAAACCAATCCAAAAACATGACAACACTACTCTCTTTCTTTCGTTGGTTGGAGGGAAAGATGCAAACGGGAAAAGTCTGAAGAAAAAATTGACTGTCACTGCCAGGACTCGAACCATTACTCTTTTTGGTTCGGTGATAATGATAACTCAGAAGCTGCGACGGTGGACAACATGCACTTTGCATGATGGCAATAATTCCGATGTGCACAAAACGAGTGAACAATAGCTGCAACGCTTTATGCATGGCATGAAAAAGCCCAAATATTAGAGAAGAAAAAACGACCGACCGACCGACCGACCATGAGTGACTTATATGAAGCAGTGAATTAATTCTGGCTGGCCTAATGGAACACTGAAAAGTTTGCTTATCCTAAAAAGGAGGTGACAAGGAAGTAAATTGGGATTCCCCTGTTTCATGTGATTATTGTGGTGCACAGGTTTGGCACAGCCAGTGGTGCGATACACTTGGATGATGTTGCATGCGCTGGAAGTGAAAACAGGTTGCTTGATTGCCGAAGTAACCTACTCTATAAGCACAATTGTAACCATGGTGAAGATGTAGGTGTAACCTGCCAGGGTAAGTAAGACACAGCCATGGCTATACGGAAGTACACACAAAGCAGCTGTGTATAGTCACGTGACCATACAAGATAGCACAGTGAATTTTTGCAGGCATATCAGTAATCCCTCAAATCAACTATTTTCACTTTTAAAAGTAGTTATAGATTTTTCGGATGGAGAGCCAAGGATAAATTTATAGTAAAGAAAAGGACCAGTAAACTATAAGTTACGCTATAATGTCCACTAACAGTGGACATTATAGCGTAACTTGTTTCTTGGTCCTTTCTCTTTACGATAGATTTAAAATTTAACCTAACGAGACCAAACAATGGTTGCAGATAACAGCACAAACAGTTCACCAGCCACAATCCATGATATCAAATACATGTGGTGTTACTTATGACAAATCTTGTTTTGGTCCATAGGCGAGGGTGTGGAAACTCAACTAACTCACATACCGTATATTCTCTATTATAAGCACAGGTCTCCATTACTAGCACGGTCTCTAATACTAGCACACTGTGAGCACCTTTCGAAACATTATAAGCACAGTCTCTATTATTAGCACGGTCTTGGTAGAAATCAATGCTGCATGCATGATATCCAGCATGTATTTCTTCTTGCTCTGTATGGATATATTGGTTGAAAAAACATAAGCACGGTCTCCAATATAAGCACGGGGTAGAGGGTGTTGAAAAAATATAAGCACGGCGCTTATAATAGAGAATATACGGCCATGTATATATGTGACCAACAAAATCATATCAGACGTCTGTCGTCACATCTGAAGATTGGTAACTTCACTAGCCAAATACTTCACGAAACTCGAAAATTGCAAATTTAGCCGCCCGTAGGTGACAAGAAGGCTTCTGGGGTGTTACATAGAGGAGAACTGAGCTATATTCCATGCAGCAGATCATATCCTTCTTCAAATCAATGGCAGATTTCCTGGTCTAGGAGAGGTTATAATTTGTTGTTGCCAAATTCAATCGGTCTGTCAATTCATAGTAGACTGTAGTTATCTTTATACACCAAAACAAGACTTTTCAAAAGTAATACTGCTTGCTGTCGTGGAGTATGGCTGGTGAACTGTTCGTGTTGTTATCTGCAAGCATTGTTTGGTCTCGTCGGGTCAAATGAAAAAAATATTTCAACTGTGAAAATGATGGACCGATTGTGTGTATGTGTGTGTGTGTGTTTGTGTGTGTGTGTGTGTGTGTGTTTGTGTCAGCTAGTTCGGTTGGTGGGTACACTTATGCCAGATAGTGTTGGGCCTGTTGCCAACGGGCTCGGCTGCTTGAAGGTGTATTGTTGTACCTACCACCTTTGTTGGTTTCAGGGTTCATATACTTTCTATTTGAAGTATACATACCTGTTAACCATGGACTGCTTCTGGCTAGATTAACTCTTGTGTAATCAATGGTGCTAGTGAAGCTTATATCAGATCCACTCTGATTTAGCCACCCGCACTAGTACCAAGTATTACCTTCACTGGGGGCAGGGGTACCTGCAGTTGGATCCCGGGACGGATACCCTGATGCCGTCAATCCTTTTCCTGCACCTTGTCCTCACCCACTTACTGAGGTGTGGTGAGCCCATAAGTGGGATCATTTCAAGTCCACCCTAGTTTGGGGATTTCAGGGGGTGTCGGCCGTTGGGTGGTTCAATGGCCAATTGAGTCATCTTTCCAAGATTCCTTTTGAGTCTCTCTCCCCTCTCCCGGGGAGACCCACGTGACCAGTTTTGGCAGTGAGCAAGTACAAGTACAAGTACAAGTGTGTTTGTGTATGTGTGTGTGTGTGTGTGTGTGTGCGCGTGTGCGTGTGCGTATGCAGGGTACATATGCGGGTGCGGGTGCGCATGCATGTGCGCGGGTAGCAGCCTGACTCCTATTACGTCACTTCATACATACAAGCATGCGCAAGAAAAGAAATCATTATCTTTGGCCTCAACTTCTTTGTTGTCCGGTTGGCCAAAGCAGCCGTCGTCTAGGACCAGACGTAAAACCCTAAAAGGTCCTGCTGGCTGATACCACATTAGTGTAGTGCGTCCACAGTCAAACCCACGTGATCAGGTCCTGCTGGCTGATACTACATTACTATCCTTCTTTTGAATCTAACAGAACAAGCCACTTTTTTTCTCAGAAATGCTTGGCATCGGTGCTAGGGTGGTCGTAAAATTTGGGCGCCGCTCAAATAGACATGTGCTAGGCCCTCACCATGGACGATCGACTGTGTAATAATAGTGCGACGGAATGCAGGCATCCATGGAAGGCGCCTACAAGTCTCTCCGCAGCCGAGACTGGCACTCAGCCACAGATGCCCTCTGAACCCTCCCTGAACACCCTCTCCGCTTGCACAATGGCAGTCCCCTTTTTACTCTAGAACATGTATCATCATCCATTTTTCACCCTCTATACCCTCCCCCCCCCCCACCCCCCCCCCCGTGCTTACTCCTCCCCACTTTTTGGTGCACTGAAGTGTCGCTGAAGCCGAGACCTCAGGTTGGCGGAGATACTCCAGTTTCCCCACCACAGTTGCGTCTGCAACCACCTCTATCTTGCAATAATCTGTTCTCGAGGTTCGTGGTTTCTCGTAAAAAAAACGAGAGAACTTGGAAGCTCAGGGCCCTACACTATGATTTTTTGCCTAGCTCATCATGCATGTTATTAGAACTCATGGAAATGTGTTTTCCATTGATTGGCTATAGTGTTTTACGTCGACCATGACGGCTACAATGCCCGACCATACCACAACGAACTGATCGGCAACAATCATTGTAATGCAAAAAGTTTCCATCTGTTCGAATAACATGCAAGATGAGCTAGGCAAAATGCTATGATAGTTTCTCCCCCACACTAGCTCGTGTTAAGCCTTGGTTTTTTTCATCTTTCTGACCTGTACAGCTCTATCTTCTTCTTTTTTTCTTTTTTTTGGTGCGTGTTTTGGCCGTGACGCCGAGACCTCAGGTCGGCAGAGTCATCAATGCCCCACCATCACTGCTGCGTCTTGGTACAGCGCCTGCTCATTAGTTGTCAGTGTTTCCTAGTCTCTGTACCATTGTCTTTCCTTATTCTTTTCGAGCTGGTTATGTGAACATAGTAAAAATCGTAGGGCCCTGAGCGAAAGAAATAAACTTTCTCTTGTCATTCGAGGTTATTACGACACCCCGTCTGCCACCTTGATGACCTAGGCAAAAAAGCATAGCGATGTTATAAATTTTTCATTCCTCCTATTTTCTTCAAGACATAACCTAGGATTCGAACCCTCGCTATCGCCCTACATGCATTCCCCCGATACACTTCGCGTACATGTACATACTCATTCTTCCAAGTTGCTTCAAGTTATCATCTTGCATTTGAAAGCCCTATTTGAATATTGTGGCCAGCTGTTTTTGATGGCACGGTACGGGACAGGGACGGGATAGTGCCAGGCATGCCGATGGCACAAACACACAAACACACACGGAATTATAGCTGTGTAGACCCTGGCTAGCGCCAGACGTTACTGGAGTAACATCTGTTGCATAGCTATGGGAATAAAATAAAAATGATCACAATCCGCTGGAAGAGAAGTTGAAAGAGGCACCCTCGGTGTGAGTAGAAATGTTGAGGTATGACTGCAATGGAGTTGTTGAACATTAATGACTTTTTTATATGCCTTGAAAATTAGATTGTTCTTTGTATTTTTCTCTATCACCTCTTTTGCTGGTGACTTTCAGCGGCTCCTGGCTGTGAGTCATTACAGGCTGATATGCCAATGATTGTGGAGCCTCCTTCATGGAATGGTGCACAATATACCTCCACATACAGCTGTGCGCCTGGGTATCTCCTGCATGGGGATAGAGAACGACATTGCAGATCGTCGTGTTCGTCACAGCAGTGCAATGCAACATATGTCTCCTGGTTCTGGAGTGGTCGGAAACCAGCATGCTTGGGTTGGTTGGCATTTTTCTGCTTTAGTCCATACTTTCATTGGCTTTGTCTTTGCTTAAGCACAATTAACGACACAAGGTTATAATATAAAACAGAGAGGTTCCAGGCTGTCCAAGAAAGTGCTCAATAACGAGAGGCAGGACTGATTCAAACAATACAAGGACAGATAAAGTGTTTTAACTCCGAGTTTCACGCACTAAGCGATCATCAGAAAACAGTAATGAGAAATCTGGATCAGTATTGGTTAATATACTCACAAAGCAAAGTATGACCGTTATAAGTATTTATAGCGTGCATCTCACCTACTCCACTGTGTTGCTCTAGAACACTGTAAGTCATAATATTATTACTATTCAAATTACATTAACTGGAAGGTTAGCTAATGTATACTACATTAGTGTATTGTGTCCACAGTCCAACCCACGTGATCAGGTCATGTTACCCCCCCCCCCCCTCCCTACCTCAATCCCACCCCTGCCTCCCGGTGCGTCTGCCCAGTGTTGACTCCGAGACCCATTGTCGGATGAGCTGCCCAGGCCTCACCACCAGCGCCGTTTCTGTGCTGCCTTCTCTATACATATGTATGTACACTGTGTATGTGACCGTTCACATGTCTGAAGGGTTGTGGTTTTCAATAAAAAAATAGATAAATAAAAAATATGCTCGCTGATTGACTCATTACTATCCTCCTTATTGATCCAACATGAGCAAGCCACTTTTTTTCTCAATAATGCTTGGGATCGGTGCTATTGGTCGCAAAAAGTTGGGCGCCGCTCAAATAGACATGTGCTAGGCCCTCACCATGGATGATCGACTGTGTAATAGAAATACGCATGCAATGGTTTGCATGAGCGCCATCCGCTGGGAGAGAGGTTGCAAGAGGCACCTTCGGTGTGAGTAGAAATATTCTGGTATGACTGCATTGGAATTGTTGAACATGAATGACTTTTGGTTTTTATACCTTAAAAAGAAAAAGCAGTTCGTTCTTTGTATTTTTCTCTATCACCTCCTTTGGCTGGTGACTTTCAGCTCCTGGCTGTGAGGCGTTGCAGGCTGATTTGCCAATGATAGTTAGAAACGCTACCTGGAATGGTGCACAATATACCTCCACATACAGCTGTGCACCTGGGTATCTCCTGCATGGGGATAGAGAACGACATTGCAGATCATCGTGTTCGTCAGAGCGGTGCAATGCAACAGATGTCGCTTGGTTCTGGAATGGTCGGGAAGCAGTGTGCTTGCGTGAGTTGGTATTTTTCTGCTTTAGTAAAGCCTCCACTGGCCTTGTGTATTATTTGAACACAGGTAACAATGCTGGGGTGAATTTGGAGTGCACATCTCACCTACTCCACTATATTCCCTGGAACAAGGTGCACTGTGTATTCTACTGCTTCATTGTATACAGCCTTTTTCAATATCTGATGTCAGTAAGGTTTTCAGCTCTCTTCTCCTTTCATCCACCTATTTTGAAAAGGCTGGCAGTCCACTTCAAAGTGATTTTTTACTTATATTTTTTCATTTCCCATTTAGAATCTAGCCATGTGGTTAGGCGAGAAGGCAGAAATGCATGTGTATATTTATGGTGACGTAAAATAGATACAAACAAACACTAAAAGTGGTGTAGAGGTGCGTGCTGTCAGATACCAGCCGATATCTAGATAGGACCCTTCAACATGTGGACACACGGAAACACTAAAAGTAAACGTTTTCTCATCTGACCTGACAAACAAACACGTTGCTTGTCGTGCTCTGTGTGCACTACTGATACGTATTCAGCGCGACAATGCAGTGTTCTGTGTCCACCACGGTATGGAAGGATGGCATTCTCCAACAGGCAAGAAGGACGTTTTGAGTTCAACAGCACCGTGGAGTTCACATGCCGTCCTGGCTACATGCTGCAGGGCAGTGTGACCCGTACTTGTCAGCCGGATGGGACTTGGAGTGGCAGTGTGGCGACTTGTCAAGGTAGGAGGAGTGTGTAGGCAAGCAGGGTTTGGGAAGCTTAGCCTCTAGGTCAACAACAAAGGCCGGTGAAGGTGACATCGTGGATCCCTATCTCTATCTCTCTCTCTCTTTCTCTAGAAATGAACTGCACCAATGTATCTGTTCCGCATCATGGCTGGTCAATCTCAAGGTACAACGGTAACACACAGGTCAGTGGCTGCATTGATGGCTACTACAGTGAACCTCAGACCCAGGTGAGAGTGTGTGCGGAGGACAAGAACTGGACTGGGAACACTCTAATGTGTACAGGTGACAGAAACTGTGCTTTGCTGTCTAATGTACCTTCGCCCTGAGGTTCATTCCAAATTGATTTATCATAGATGTACGAGTAGATGAAGCCCCGATCATTCTACTGAGGTGTGCTCATGTTTTCTAGCTGTGAAATGAACTGACAACACTTTACCTGCAGCACCTACACTGAATGTATAGTAGGGCTATTTCAACATGGCTTTCAGCACCGATTGCAGAACCCAGCTATGCTCAGCGGGCACTTGTCAGGGCCCCCCCCCCCACCCTGATGCCTCTCCCCCACCCTCTACTCAGATGGCTCCTGGGGTGTGTTGGAATTGGTCCACGATAATCTATACCATTATATTTTTACTAAAACGGAGCTACATCACATGACTACCAGCGCTGACAAAAACCGATCATCATCCACCACAGTGATTTTTAAGGATTTCACGAGAAGACATTGGATGTTTGACATGTTTGTCATGTTTATCATCTCCTCCTCATTGTGTTGATCTTGCAGAGCTGATGTGTGAGACCTTGCCCTCTCGCAGTCCACTGCACACAACATACACGAACCAGACCAGGCGTCACTCCATTGCCACTCATGTATGCCCGCTCGGCTTCGACATGGTGGGCGGAGGCACATCTCGACAGGAGTGTCGCGTGAACTGCACATACGACGTGGTCGATGGCCGTCTCATGCCAATGTGCGGCAGAGGCATGTATTCTGGACCGGCATTATGCCAACATGTCAAGGTAAGCGCACTAGTCTTGAGTAGAATGCTCTGCCTGCAGGACCCTTATGATTACTGGTACTGACAGGGAGCCCTTCCAAGGATGACTACATGCAATGTGCTCATCTCCTTTTACCAACCTGATGACAAACCAAGACAGAATTTGAAAAAAGCATCAGTGAAGACCCCATTTGTGGTGAGACTCCCATGATTGGTATCCATTTACCTCTGGAGAATCCGTAAATAAACAAACAACAACAACAACATTTGGAAGATGTAGAATTTATAACTGAGCTGTACATGCATATTTGTCACTGTACCTTGTTTTAATAAGACAGCCGCAAATGCCTAGCATCCCTTACATGTCCTCATTCTCCATGATATTCATCGACGGTGAAACAGTGAATAGGTAACTGAAAGACAGCTGAATGCCACCAATGCTAGTAAGATCCATAATTTAGAGGTGTGCTCGTCAATATTGACTGAGTGAATCTGATACAGTACATCTAAGCTTTTCCTCCATGGAAGATGCAGGATGAAGAGCGATCTCCAGGGAAAACTAACCTGAAAAGAATTTCAACAAAACCATGATTCTGTCAAATTACCGAAAAGGTCTGGGAAACAAGAGTTGGAAATTGAGGAAGACTTTTCTGGAGTCCATGTTTATGCCAACACAAGTAGCCACTCCCTGTAACAGGTTTAATCAAACTTGAAAAGTAAGAGGCCTGGTTGAGCGTGCCTCGACCAGTTATATGCAAAATGTGATAGTATACATGTGGCAATGGCGCCAATGAAGGTGCTAATAGACAGGCGTAAGACGCACGAGGTGCGAGGGAGTGTAAAGTTATAGAGAACAGGGGAAAACTGTTACATCATCCCCCTCCTATGGAGAGGAAGGAGCTTATAACCCAAATGCTCAAGTGGAATAGAGTACAATAAGCGCAAACACGTGCGAGACGAAAAAAGGCTTCGCACTGAAGTAACACAATAAGACGACTGAAACTCCATGCAAATAAAGTGTAATAAGCTCAACAAATGTGTAAGGTGAAACTAGAAGTTCAACTGCAAAACTCAGCGGGCAGAAGCCAAGGTTTTGTACTTCTGAAGTGGAACAATGTCATTACCAGATTCATCCAACAAATAATGTTCAGGCTCCCAAGTGGCATCAGAGTAGCCTTGCCACTTGACTAGGTACTGAAGCTGATTCTGCCGGCGGCGGTGACTGAGAATGTTCTCCACCACATAGCGGGCATGACCATCAAGGTCCGTGATAGGCGGAGGCGTCGGCTGTCTCCTATTAGGAATAGCGTTCTTCTCGTAGGCACGGAGTGCCGACACATTAAATACCGGGTGACAGCGGCTGGTATGAGGCAACTTGAGCTTGTAGGCATTCGGGCCGACCACATGGGTTATAGGAAAGGGGCCAAACCACTTGGGGCGTAATTTATGGGATGGTCGGTCCCGAGCTTCAGGAGTCAGGAGGAAATCCCGGTAGACCATTACCAAATCTCCCACCTTCAGCTTTCCCTCGACCCTTGTCCGATCTGCATAGAAGGCCTGACGAGCTTGAGCTGCCACTAGCGCATCTTGTGAGATCTTGACCGCGTCTTGTCTTGCTTGCAACCAATCAGCTGAATCTCTGCCTCCCTGAATAGGGTTGAGGAAGTCGGGTGGCGCTCTGGGATTTAGACCGTAATTTAAGAAGAACGGTGTGTTTCCTGTAGATGATTGAGTAGCGCTGTTGATAGAAAACTCACAGAGAGGTAGGAGCATATCCCAGTTATCTTGTTTATGATTTACAAAAGCCCTCAGCACATCCTCTACTATTCTGTTTACTCGTTCAGTTAGGCCATCTGTCTGAGGGTGATTGGCAGTACTAAATGCTAGTTTCGTTCCTAAGCGATCAAACAATTCCTGAAAAAATGCTGCCGTAAATCTTGGATCACGATCACATACAATACTAGAACTCAAACCATGAAGTCGAAATACATGTTGAATATACAGATCAGCACTTCCTTTAGCGTCAATAGTAGAGGAAGTAGGTGCTAAATGTACACACTTTGTCAAGCGGTCTACAAATACATATATAGCATCATGACCTGTATCGGTCCTAGGCAAACCCATGATAAAATCCATCGAGATATCTGCCCACGGCTGACTGGGCACTGGTAAATTCTGCAAGAGACCAGTTTTTAGCTGGCCGCCTTTAACTCGTTGGCAGACGTCACATGACTTGACAAACGCCTTTACATCCAGTCCCATTCTGGGCCAATAGAAATATCTAGAGAGTCTGAAATAGGTGCGATCTCGACCGGGATGCCCCGCAGTCACACAGTCATGGTATTCTTGAAGCAGGGCGAGTCGGAGTTTGCTACTCTTTGGAATGCATAACCTGTTCTGTGGTGAAGATCTGAGATAAAGATAACCGGGTGTTTCATTTAGAAGGTAACGGTCGTGCAGATTGTCATGGCTTGAATTTTTCAGTCTCCTGATAATGGGAGCAAGATCCTTGTCGCACTTGTAACCGCTGACAATTAACTGCGCTAAGTCTGGATTAATCTCTAGGGTATGCTCTATGGCATTCAACTGAATGTTAGGAGGATAGGATGACCCGCCTATTTCAGAATCACTGAACAGATCTGGACGGCGTGAAAGCGGGTCGGCAATGTTTTTCTTTCCTGGTTTGTGAAAGACCGTAAAGTCATAGTCAGCTAAAAACTCTACCCATCTTGCCTCACGCTTGGTGAGAGTCGGTTTGGTTCGTAAATAGACAACACCCATATTATCAGTCATCAGGTCAAAGTGGCGGAATAGATAGATTCTCCAGCACTTTAATGCAAATACCACAGCCAACGTTTCCCTCTCGGCCGCAGTATAGTTGCGTTCTGCAGCTGACAGTTTCCGACTACAATAGGCTACGGGATGCAAATCCATATCTTCTCCCTGCTGCAGGAGCACACCCGCCACTGCAAAGTCACTTGCGTCAGTTTCTACCATGAAGCTTTTCTCAACATCGGCCAGTTGCAACACTGGCGCCTCGAGTAATGCTGATTTTAGAGACTCGAATGCCTTCTGTCTAGCAGCGCTCCATTCAAAGCGTGAATTTTTTCCGGTGATTTCTTCTAATGGACGAGAGATGGTCGAGTGTCGATCTATGAACCTTCGGAAATAGTTTGCAAAGCCAAGAAACTTCCTCACATCAGTTACTGACGACGGAGTTGGCCATGTTTCCACAGCACTTATCTTCTTGGGATCAGGGGAAATTGATGTGCCGTTGATTTTATGCCCCAAGAAGAGAACTTCTCTCACGCCGAATTCGCATTTAGACTGTTTGCAATACAGCTCACTATTTCTAAGTGTTTCTAGAACTGTTTGAAGATGATGCTGATGATCTTCCCAGGTCTTGCTGAAAACTAGAATGTCATCCAAGAATACTACAACGAATTTTCGGAGATGCGGTTGCAGAATAGAGTTCATGAGAGACTGAAAGGTGGCCGGGGCATTAGTCAGCCCGAATCCCATGACTCTAAATTGGAAGTGGCCGAACGGCGTATTAATGGCCGTCTTAGAAACATCCGAGTCTTGAATTCTGATTTGATTGTAGCCTGACCGCAAGTCCAACTTGGAGAAATATGCACTGCCCTGGATCGTGTCGAATAAGTCATCAATATTAGGAAGACAAGCTTTGTTTTTGATCGTAATTCTATTCAATTCTCGCCAATCGCACACCATTCTCAGAGTACCATCCGACTTTTTCACAAAAAACACAGGTGCACCGTATGGCGACTTACTTGGCTCAATGAATCCCTTCTCAAGTAATTCTGATAGCTGTGACTGGAGCTCGTCCATCTCTGGTTTCGGCAGGCGGTAGGCGGGTCGAGACGGTGGTCTGGCTCCATCTTCTATCTGGATTTCATGGTCGACTGGTCTCTTCGGTGGAAGCTCATTCGGCAGCTCGTCTGGAAATAAATCCTGGTACCTCTTGAGCAGGTTCTGGATGTCTTGTTGCTCTGATTCCTGGAGTTGTGGCCCGGAACGATTCTCCTCATTTGCAGCAGTGACCCATGCAAGAAACCCCTCGGCTCCACTCCTCAGGGCATGACGAGCTTGTCGGCCACTGATAAACATGCTTTCCACAGATGGCCGGTCGGCTGTCGGCGGGTTAGCTGAAGGCAATTTGGCAACAAAGGGCTCACCGTCCAACTGAACTTCGTTCGTACGGAAGTTGATGCTGGGGTTGTTCCTTGTAAGCCACGGCTTGCCAAGAATAGCGTCGTAGCGAGTCAGGGGATACACAGTAAAGTGCTGTTCCTCACTGAAGCCCCCGACTGTCACCCTTAGCGTGCGTGTGGAAATCTGCGGGACCTCGCTGGTCGAGCCGTCCGCCAATGTTACGCTCAGCACTGCTGAGCTTGCATCCGTGTCAAGATGATGCTTTCGAACAAAACTGTCTGCAATGAAGTCATGCGTCGAACCGGAATCTATCAGCATCACTGCACGGCGACCGCCGATCTTTCCCTGTATGCGCAGTAGGTCGTGTTCAGGTTCATTGCCGACGCTGACGTTGCTGACATGACACCTTTCTGCAACGGGACAATTTCCTACAGCTATGGGTGTCTCCGGCTCCGTAGGTTCCTGGAGAGCAACGTCTTCAACCTCCAGAGCTCCGAACCGGTTAGCGACTGGTACCGGCGTGGGCGCTTGGGTCGTCGCCAGTAAGCGCACCCCCTTTCTTACTGGCGACCAGCGTTTGGGTAGCGCTGTCCACCCTCAGTACAGTCTTTAGCGAAGTGGCCTGGCTTCCTGCAAGCAAAGCAGTGTCCCATTGCTCGCAGTTGGACACGCTCTTGGTCCGTCAGCTTGCGGAGGCCCTGACCACGGAAGCTGGGCACGGAACGCGACTCTCTACTGGCTGGTGGCCCCGACGCCGGTGGCCCTGACGACTGCTCCACGGTGTTTGCTGCCATGACAGCTTGCTCCAGGGTACGTGGATGCTCACGCATGACCTGTCGCTGGATGTGCGGCACTAGACCCCTGACGAACAGCAGCGCTCTGGTGTGGTGGTCGATTTCCGGCACTTGCAGGCTGAGGCGAGTGAAAGCAGCAATGTATGCGTCCAGCGACCCGCGCTGCGCTGCGGAAATTAGTCCCATACGCGATGTTTCCTCGTTGTGCCGTGGTCCGTACACATCGCCAAGTGCCGCTTTCAGAGCAGGCCAGTCGGAAAACACTTGGTTAGCTTCCAATGCCGCTATCAACCAAAGACGAGCGTTTCCAGTCAAAAATCCTGCCGCGTAGTCGACCCTCTGTGCCGCATTTGGGAGTGCCAACGACCGTAGGGCCATGTCCATTGCAAACGTCCATTCTTTGAATGTAGCGGAATCTCCTCCAAACACAGGCGGCTCTTTCGTAAGGCGGGGTGTTGGCTCCCACGGTTCCGAGTTCGGATGTATCGTTCGGTTTCCTTGGCTAACGCGCTGAGCGGTCTTGATATCGTTTATCAGCCGAACGACGAGTACGAGGAGCGTAAGCAGAGCGACCAGAACACCTGGCAAAAGCAGAGTAGTAACCATCCTCTGCTACCAGTGTAACAGGTTTAATCAAACTTGAAAAGTAAGAGGCCTGGTTGAGCGTGCCTCGACCAGTTATATGCAAAATGTGATAGTATACATGTGGCAATGGCGCCAATGAAGGTGCTAATAGACAGGCGTAAGACGCACGAGGTGCGAGGGAGTGTAAAGTTATAGAGAACAGGGGAAAACTGTTACACTCCCAATGAGAAGACTAGATGGGTTGAGTTGCTGGTGCCTCGAGGTGGCCAATGAGCCCATGCCCAATGACAGTGGAATACAGGCAGTCACTATAATGAACAAGGTTAGCATGTGTGTCGACACTCAGTGCATTAGTTTCTGGACTGGCCAGCTCATTGGTGAAGCCGAGAGGGGTTATGTACTCTTGGTGAAGCCCACTATCAGTGCGTGCTTCACTTGCTATTTGTGTCTATCCAGTTGCTACATCTTTCCTACAGATGCACATTGTTTCTTGTGCTCTCCATGACTGTGTTGCTATAGCTGGACCTTGCTCTAATGTCTTCCCACCGCGTCATGGTTCATAAATTTCTTACGAACTGGGTAACGTGACCTACAACACAACAGAAATCGGGTTTCGCGGAGTTCGCGGAATGAAGGTTATGTTCGGCTGCGACCACACGTACAAGCTGTCGAGCGAAGGAATGCGCACAAGAACGTTCCATGTCCCCTGGTCTGGTGTCGCGCCTCTCTGTGTCGGTGAGTGGTGCGGATCAGCTGTGTGCTACCTGTTAAACGCTACTACTCATAGAGTGAGGATCAAAGACTAGCTGACTCTCTGTATCTCTACCTGCACATCTTGGTCATGCATGTTTCAGCACCCTCCGACACATCTCACTCAAGCAGGGTTGTTATTTACCATAGCCTCAACTTGGTTGCACTGTCACAATCAGAGACAGACCACACTCCTCGAAAGAATGCTCACTGCACCAGAGGGCAGAGCGCTATACACATACATGAAGTACACATGAAATACATCTTTCTCCAATGCTTACGCGTTACAACCCAGTTTGGTGCGCCTGCCACTCGAAGATGCCGAGACCTCTGGTCGGTTGAGCATGGCAGGCCCACCAGCACCATCTCACCCTATGCTAGCCCCATGTGCCTGCCAATGAGTTACAGATCTAAAAATAAAATAAACAGAGGAGATGGGAGGTTGTAATGATGTCACTGATACAGTTTGAGTAGCGCACCGTGAACGGTCGCTCTTCAGAAAGCATGACTATAGGGACCTTAGCACCACGTTGTTTACGACGTAAGCCTGACGTAGGGCCTTGTCCGGGTTCGGGGTCACGCCGCGACGTAGGATGTACGTTCATCAGGCAACGTTTTCGACGTAGAAAAGGCCTTGTGTACGTTGTGGCAGGATGTAGGAATTTACCTTTGCTCTTTGCAATTTGCTCCAAGAGGGCAAGAGTTCAAATAACGTTGATGTGTTTATGTTGTAGTTTTTGTTTTGTAACTCACGACGTACGATCGATTGAGAGGCGCTAGGCGTAATTAATTTTTATTCTTTGCTATCTTTGTTTTGTGTTTCCGGTACTTGTATCTTCTTCTCTGAGCAAAATTTGTTTCGGTATGGCTGCCGAGGACATGCAGACTAAGGCTGTGTGCCTGAAATTTCGTTTTGGAGCCAAGGAGGACATCAATTTGTTGAAAGAAGGTGTGGCAGCGTTGAGCGAAAAGCCCTTCTCTCGTGGCACGCCTGCCTGGAACACTGTACTCCTGAATTTGGCAACTAACTACGCCAAATGGAAGCCAGTAACCATCCGTGCACTTCGAGATAGAACTCATTTGCTGGTGAAGGTGCACATCAGGAAGGAGAACTACAGCGCCAGACAAACCGGTACATCTGAGGATTACAATGAGATGGACGGTTTGCTGGTGAGTATGAGAACTTTGTATGAGTCTGCTGCTGATCAGCAGGACGAGTTGCGGAAGGAGTCTTTGGCTGAGGCCAAGAAGAAAGAGGAGGACCGAATCGTCATCAAGGACATGCGAGAGAGTGCTATGCAACGCCTTGCAAACAAGAGAGCGTCATCATCAGCTTCATCTCCGGAATCCTAGTTCATTTTCTTTTTTTATTGATCATGATCGTATTTTACCCATAATACTACGCGTCTTGTATTTTTTCTGTTTTGTAGAACAGTTGTATTTCTCGCCGGACGAGCACAGCGAGATAGGCGAGAAATGATTTCTCGCGAAATATTTTCAGTTGCAAATATGGCATCTGGTGTGTTCTTTATTGTCGCTTCTTTTCCTGACTTCTTCAGTCAGTGGTGAGTCTCACCAGTGTCCCTGCCATCCCACCCTTCATTTCTGTGCATATTATCATTGCTTTTTTATCACTTTTTGCCGTGATGTGCTTACCATGCCTACATGATACCTAATCGGCATTGGGGATATAAACCCGGTATTTTCCCTCACAACTGCGTCCGTCGGCGCAAGGGTTTTTTCCCGGCTGGCTCTGTCCGAAAAAAATTAATCTGACGGTCCCAAGTGGTTCTGTATCAAGGCCTACTTCTGCTATCCACTGGCATGCTTTTTCTATCTGAGACACTCTGTTCTCAGTCCTTGCTTCCATACCTAACTCGTTATCTGGTTCACATCTGGCTGCGGCCAACTACGTTCACTTTGTGTAGTGTCGCTATTGCGGTCTATGTCTTTGTGAGTGCCAGTATAATATGTGGAGCGAGATTGACTGATGCTGTAAAATACATGTATGCGGGTATCAATCTGCATCATTAGTAATCTATACCACAATTTCCCTTTTTCAGGAGCAGAATTCAAGCATTATCAGTGCTATTTTGGAGCAGAATGCGAGCGTATTGAAATGCATAATCCATCAAATTCTCGAGCATTATCCGCCGGGGCCTTCGGCCTCTGCACTAAACCGTGCAGTGTCCCTCGGGTGCTTATCTTCACACTGCATGTATTTCTTGCCCCTCTTGTCTCACCCCTCGCCAGTTCTTTCTTTCCTTTCTGCATGATCTGCTTTCGCTTATTTTTATACCGATCAAGACTGAGGTACATGCATAATCGCCAGCAGTCATACTAGACGAAAGTTTCATTGGGCGCTTTCGATTACACAATTGGGCCCAGGTGATATAATTCTGGAAAGAACAGAATAAGCGGATTGCGGCCATGTAAACGAACGACTACACCTAAAAATCGTAAAAGGGGATCACGCGGGATCCCCATGCACCTTCGCGCGCATGTGGACCTCGCATAGCATGTACATGTACGTCGAGTGCGTCAATTCTGGAATTAGCAATTCCGACCTGTCTGCAGAATTGACGGAATTGGAATTGACAACGGAATTTGTGTAATCGAACGGTGCATCCACCGTAACTAATTCGAGAACTGACCGAAATGTGTGTAATCGAACGTGCCCATTGATTTTTGATGCTTTTACTTCGCTTGAGAAGAAAGCAAGAACACTGGTTTGAACAATAATGGAATCCTGATGCTGATGGTTCTACAAGAGCTTGTCGTTTTCAGCGCATCTTGCTGTGATGAACTTTTCTCTTAAAGGGAAGTTGTCATCATCATGTATTCCATTACTTCTGACGATTTCACGGTGAACATTCAGAGGAGAGACAAACAGGACACTAAAAAAGTATACATATAGTCGCAGTGGACTGACTCCATGTGTACTAGGACTCTGCCGTGCTCGCTAGCTAGCAGTCTCATCTAGCAATTCGACTTGTTGTCTTCATAGCTCCATTTATTGCTTTGTGCATGTACTTCATAACGTGTAGGGGATTACTCACAGCCAATTTCAATGTTGGCTGTATCTAGGCACAACTCATTTCAGTTTTACTGACTGTCGGAGACAATAATAACTACAATTCGAAGCAGCAAACAAGCACTCAACCCAACTTAGGTTGCTCAGTCTCGTCATCGTTCAGTAACTGTCGACATTCTATGCTCCCGTGGGACTTTAGCTTGAGCTCATTTTCGTTATGCTAACCTTTCCCTCATTGGTCAGGTGTCAGGTCGTCGAAAGACTCAGTACTCTGTTAGTTTTGTGTCTAGTTGTTGCACGTTCACACTGTATTCATAGCACCTATATGTAGTTACAGTGGTTCCTCTTTTACGGGCAAACAAATCACAATTTGCAATTTATGGAGGAGTAGAACAGAATTCAAGTAATGAAAACGAGCAACACTACACTTGTTACAGTGGTGGACAGTTACTCTTTTTTTTTTAACTCGTATCGGTATGTCCTGTTCCTTGCTACATTTATTACTGGCTCAACATCCGAGTATCAAATTTGGTACTTGTTCTGCATGTTATATGACCGTTTGGTATGTGGAATTGTGTGTTGTTTGTTGTTGCTTGGTATGTGGAATTGTGTGTTGTTTGTTGTTGTGTGGTATGTGGAATTGTGTGTTGTTTGTTGTTGCTTTGGTATGTGGAATTGTGTGTTGTTTGTTGTTGTTTGGTATGTGGAATTGTGTGTTGTTTGTTGTTGTGTGGTATGTGGATTTGTGTGTTGTTTGTTGTTGTGTGGTATGTGGAATTGTGTGTTGTTTGTTGTTGCTTTGGTATGTGGAATTGTGTGTTGTTTGTTGTTGCTTGGTATGTGGAATTGTGTGTTGTTTGTTGTTGTTTGGTATGTGGAATTGTGTGTTGTTTGTTGTTGTTTGGTATGTGGAATTGTGTGTTGTTTGTTGTTGTTTGGTATGTGTTTGGTAAAACCAAAGCAGAACTCAAGGAAGTAGCAAAAGGTGTGTATGGTTCTACCAATGCCACTACTTTTCAAGCAGAATCTGCCAATTATTATTTGTCGAGCATTATCCACCAGTAGGGCTTGGCGGATAATGCCGGCAGAAAAATTGGCAGAATTCGGTACTTTTTCTGGTAAGTTTCATGCATGTTTGGTATGTGGATAAAGAAATGGAGCAGAATTCGAGGAATTGCCCGCCATAAGGTTTGTATGGTTCTGCCAATTTCGGTGCAAAAAAAGCAGAATCTGCCACCTTTTCGAGCATTATCCGCCAAGGCCTATCCACCAGGCGCTATATGATTCTACATCATATAGCTTGGTTATACTATCGTAAAAATACTAATTTTGGAAGCGGAAGGGATATGCATGTACAAGACAAGTACGGGTAGTGAAGAAACAGTCGTGCGACTATTAGTATTAGATTGCTGACTACAATATTGCTACTTACTACATGTACATGACAGTACAGTCAGTATTCATGGTGTTGGATTGGCACATGAATTTTTTAGTGTAGATCTACAATCATGTCGAGTCTACTAAAGACGTGTTACTTGACTGTACTTGCACCCCAGAACCGGAACTGGAGAGGAGACTAGCCGACTATAGACTGTACTGCTGACTGGCAATCGCAAGGTGTGAACACCGGTGGTTCCGAGTGTGACTTTTGGACGGTTTGGTGTAGATGATCTGATCTACCTATGGCCTACCTGCTCGCACATTCTAGACAACGATTATTTTTATTGCAGCAAGTCAGCAGCGACTCCCTGGCGGAGCGACTCGCAATATTCCCAGTACACCGCCAGCCAATATGTGGATGCACTGCAGTCTGCAGTGCGATATTGCACCCCGGCGAGTGAGCGTGCAAATAACCTATATCTGCACGCTCACTTCGAAGCGAGCGTGCAAATAACCTATATTTGCACGCTCACTTCGAATCGAGCGTGCAAATATAGGTTATTTGCACGCTCGCTTCGAAGTGAGCGTGCAAATATAGGTTATTTGCACGCTCACTCGCCGGGGTGCAATATCGCACTGCAGTGCATCCACATTGGCCGGCGGTGTACTGGGGAATATTGCACGCTCAGTAAGGCCGCTGATTGGCTCAAACCATGGAAACACTCACGTGGGGTGCGATAAGTATGTATTACTGCACAAGGACCAGTGCAATACCGGCCGATATCTGCACGAACGGCGAAGCCGTAAGTGCAGATATCGACGCCGGTATTGCACGCGTCCGAGTAGAGGACCAGTGCAATACCGGCCGATATCTGCACGAACGGCGAAGCCGTAAGTGCAGATATCGACGCCGGTATTGCACGCGTCCGAGTGCAGTAATACATTTATCGCACCCCTGCCACCACACAGTCTGTCACCACACACTGGTGCAACCCTAGCATGCTGCATATATGCGCATGCAACCCTGCTATCATTCACAGTCATAGTATAGACCGATCCCCTTATTATTGTCTGGGTTCGAGCAAGGGGGCAACTCCGCAGTCGCGTGGGATCCTGCTGCACACACGCGACTAGCCTCACCTCGGCTGAGCTGATATATATATATATATATATATATGAGGGTGACTTCTCGCATGCGAAGGGCAGAGCACACGAGATCTACATGCAGTGCAAGCCTGTCTACAAAAAAATGCCACAAGGACTTTTGATTTGAGCTGTTTTGTTTTTGTTTAGACGTCTTCCTTTTTACGACTTCAGGATGCCTGCTCAGGATCATTACTGCGTTCCTCACTGTCAGAACAGGAGGACGAAGCAAACAAGTCATTTCACTCCTTTCCTCGTGTGGAGCCACAGCGGCCTGGAGCAAGCGGATCCAGGCTATTCCCCGTGAGGAAGGACGTAGTTTTAGGGTCACTGAATATTTGAGTTGCAGCGATCATTTCGATCCCGAAATCGTTTTGCCCAGCTCTACAAGGGCAGGATGAGTCCAGGAAACCAAACAGCTGTCCTACGGTACCAGGTTTGCTTTTCGCAAGAGAGTGGAGTCTGGACGCTCTGCTCCCTCTGCTCGCAAAACAGTATTTGCTGAGCCTAGTGCAGTTCGGTCATGGAAGTGCAGCGTCTGCATCACGAGCTCCCCATGCTCGCAAACCAGTATTTTGCTGAGAGGCAACGGCACTTTGAGTCGAAAAGGAACCTGGCTTGTAGTTTGGTCCTGTAATGGAAGTGCAGCATCTGCATCAGGAGTTGGCAGCAAGTAGAGCTCGTGTACAGAGTCTCGTGGAGCAGTTGGACGATGTGAGGACTGGGGTGAAGAAAGCCGAAAAACAGCTTACGTACAATAACATAAAGAAAGACTCTGAGCCGCTCCAGTTTCTTACTGGTTTGCCTTCAGGTGTTTGGACCGCTCTGTGGGACTTCTTTGACCCTAGCCGAGAAAATATACTGCGCCGCGCCAGATCTGCGAAGACGGAAGCTGAGGGACGGCGGATACAGTTGGAGGTGGCCGTAAATCGCCAATGAGCATGTAATGGAGGATCAGCTGCTATTGGCATTGATATGTCTAAGCCTGGGCCGAATGGAACAGAAAATGTCATGCGTGGCACAAGTTAATCATCCGTTTCACGGTATAATAGCTAGCTGAGCTGAAAAGATGTCTTGTTCCTCCGTTTGGGCATAATCCCCATTTGAGCGAGCTGGCGAGATTTTCAGTCATCAATGCCATGTGCCGCAAGACATTCTGCATTGTGGATGAAACAGTTATATTTTGCCATGCACTTAGGGTTCTCGCACCGGCACGGCACGACAAGACCCAACAGATCCTTGCGCTCTTATTTTCTCCCATGGTAACATTGCCGGTCACAACACCCCGTAGCCAGTCGCAGATGCAACCAAATCAACCAGGTTCTTTTTTTCCAATACTGAAGCCAAAGGTATACCAATAT